AATTGATTTTTCTGACAACAGTAGTTGTTTACAAAACTGAAATCAAAGAAAAGACTAACAAACGTATTATGAGGTGCGTAGAAATTTATTCTTTGACGGCGTGAAATCGTAAACAACTTTTGTTAGGGAAAATCCGGTAGATCACTTTAATAATAAAATAAAATTGCAAAAAATATGAGAGTATCAATTCAATCATGTATGAATGCGGATATAAAATCATAGGAAAAAACTGTATACAACTATTCAGTTTTGAAAATAGTAAAATTACAAAGTAATTAAATCTGAAAAATTTGAAGATACGTAATATCAAAAACCGGGACTTTTGTTTTTACATTACGCAACTTTTAGAAAAAATCAGTAAGTAATGCAAAATGATTACGTAACCGTCTAAAAATTACGAATATTTTTAATTGTTAAAAAATATCGGAAGCTCTTCAGCTTTTTTATGCTGGATATTTTAAACAGTGACAAGTTCCTTCCATTGTGCCAAAAGACATTTTTTTTCAAAGCTAAGGACTCTAGTATGGCTGTCAACTGAGGATGTCAAAATAATTAAATTTATTTTGATAATTTTTTAAGCATAAGTATATTAAAGTTGTCGTGCTTGCATTTTTAGTTGACACGGAATTTTTTTGATATATCAAGTTTTCCATAAATTTTAGTACGACTATGTTGAAAAATAATTAATGCGAAAGTTTCTAGTTTCACTTTGTTACAGATTTTTTCTATTCTTTCAGATTCTCTCAATATCCCTGAAGATTCCCTCAGATTTCCGCAAAATTTTTCAAAATCGCTTTGGATCCTTTCACATCCCTGCAGACTGTTCCAGATTCTTCCCGTTTTTTCTACATTTTTCTAGGTTCTCTCAAATTCTTTCAGATTCTGCCAGGTTTATCTAGATTCGTCTAGATTTCCGGAAATTGTTTCCGATCCCCTCTGATTCTTTCAAATTCTTAGTTTCATATTTCCTCAGATTTTCTTGGATTCCCTCAGATTCTTTCAGATGTTTTTAGATTCTTTCCCTTTTTTAAAATTCTCCCTTTCGGATTCTTTCGGATTATTCCGGATGCTTTCGGATTGTTTCTAGATTCTTCGGGATTCTCACAGATTCCCACAGATTTCCTCAGATTCCTTCAAATACTTTCCGAATCTCTCACATTCTTTCCTCCATATTTTTACAAATGCTTTCAGATTCTTTTATTTTCTTTCTGATTCTCTCTTTCAGATATTTTCGATTTTTTTTTATTTTTTCTGATTATTCCGGATGCTTTTCGATGCCTCCGGTTTATTTCCAATCAATTTTTTTTTAGATTTTATCAAAGACCGTCAGGAATCCCCAAGATTCTTTCAAATTTTTCAGGTCTATTCAGATCGTTTCAGATCCTTTCAGATACCTGCAGATTCTTCCAGATTCCTCCAGTTTTTTTTAGATTCTATTTGATTTTTCTAAATTCTTCGACATTCTTCAAAATTCTCTCAGATTCTCACAAGTTCCCTCAGATTCTTTCAGATTCCTTCAAATTCCTACGAATCTCTCAAATCTGTTAGATTCTCTCAGACTCTAGGATTTTCTTGATTTTAATAATAATAACATTTGCTTTCAAATTTTTCCACATCGCTTCAGAATCCTGCAAAATCGTTCAGATTCTTCCAGACTCTTCGCTTGATTCCCCCAGGGAATATGAGAAAATTTCGAAGAATCTAGCAAAATCTAAAAGAATCTAGAAAAATCTAGAAGTTTGCAGAAATCTGAAGGAATTTGTAAGGGTCTGAAACAATCTGAAAAGTACTAAAAAATTTTAAAGAATCTTGAGGTTTTTGTGATGGTGCCTTTGAAAGAATCTGAAAAGTTCGAAGGAATCTGAAAAAGTTCGAAAGAATACGGAAAATGCGAAAGAGGGAATGCGAAAGAATCCAAATAATTCAAAAAGAAGAGTCGTAATAAAAATGAAAGAATTTGAAAAAATCTTAAATTCCCTCAGATTCTTTCAGATTTTTTCGATACTCTCAGAATTTTTCACCTTTCATATCGTTTCAGATTCTTTCAAATTTTCCTCTTTGAGATTCTTCTAGATTTTTCTTCTCTCTTAGAAACAGCTGATGTTGATGAATTTTTCACGTTTATTTTTAAAATATCAGCAAAAAAAAACATTTTGAATAGGTATTCCGAAAATGTTGTTCCGCTTATACATATTTTGCCTTTTTTTCTTAATTTTCGTAGTCTTCTTTTCGCAACAAGAAACTTAAAACATGTTTAAAACAGAAAATATGGATTTTGTAATTACGCTCCGCCCCTCAGTCAGACAACGAATGGAAAAATCATCACGACTGAGATCCAGACGGATGGGTGGGGCTTATCTTTGCCTTTTTTTACTGACTACATATAGTTTTCTTTGAGCAACACCATCATTGAAGAACATGTTTCACATAGTAATTCGTGTAGAAAAATTACGGATTGGCCAACGACGAACAAAGAAAAATCGTCACAATTGAGATAGGGTGGGTGGGTGGGGCTTATGTTTTGCTTTTTTTTTTCTTTTTAATGTACAATCTTTTCTTTACAACAAGAAACTGAAAGCATGTTTAAAACGGTAAATTTTATCCGCTACACTTCTCTACAAATTGACCCTTTTAAACATGTTTTCAAACTCTTGTCGTGAAAAGAAAAGTACGTACATATATTAAGAAAAAAAAAGGTAAAACACAAGCCCCGCCCACCCGCCCTCAACTCAGTTGTGATAGTTTTTATTCGTTGTGAGTCGAAGGGCGGAGTTTATTGCAAAATGTTTATTTCTCTACAAGAAACTATCATGTAAATATGTTTTTAAGTAACATGTTGAAAGGAAACTATACGTTAAGAAAAAAACAAAAAAATAAGCCCCACCCACCCGCCCCAATTTCAATTGTGATAAATTTTTCATTCGTTGTCAGACCGAGGGGCGGAGGTTAACTGTAAAATCGATGTTTCGCAACAAAAATTTACCATTTATCCCAAACACGCTACATTTTTGGAAACAGCACGTCAAAATCTACAAACCTGACTTTTTTGAGAATTTTTAGACGACTTTTTCAACAATAAAATTTTCTACTTATGTAAATTTCGATCCATTTTCGAAATATAACTAAATACGTTTTCTTGTAGATTTCGGGCCGCGGAAGTCACATCCGGCCTAATTTTTTCGATAACTCCAACCGTTTTTCCAGAACCGCCCACGAAAATGATTTTTTTTTTATTTTAAAAAATTCGAAATTCTCAACGAATATTCCGAAAATGCTTATAGTTTGCCTTTTTTTCTTAGTTTTCGTATTTCGCAACAAGAAACTTAAAACATGTTTACCATTTACGCTATATCTTTGGAATTAGCACGTCAAAATATACTATATACCCTAAATTTTTTGAGAATTTTTAGACGACTTTCTCAAAAGTGAAATTTTCGACTACATATGTAAATTAATGCAAATTACGACCCATTTTCGACGATTTTCGAAATTTGACTGAATACATTTTCTTGTACATTTCGAGCCAGAAAAGTTACTTCGGGCCTCATTTTTTCGATAACTAAAACCGTCTTTCCTGAATCACCCATTGAAATAGCGTAATTTTTAAAAATTTCAAAAAATACGAAGTTCACACCAAATTGCTCTGTGACCTTAAACACGCTATATATTTTTAATCAGATTTTTAATCTATTGAACTGAATTTTTTGAGAATTTTTAGACGACTTTGTCACAAATGAAATTTTCCGCCAAGTATGCAAATTTCGATCCATTTTCCATGATTTTCGAAATTTAACAAAATACATTTTTTTGTGCATTTCGAACCACAAAAGTCACTCGGGGCCTCATTTTTTTTACTGAAAAACATGTTTCACATGGTAATTCGCCCCCCCTGACTAACGACGAACAAAAAAATCGTCACAATTGAGATAGGGTGGGTGGGTGGGGCTTATGTTTTGCATTTTTTTTTCTTAATATACATAATTTTTTCTTGACAACAAGAAATTGAAAACATGTTTAAAAAGATAAATTTTATCCGCTACAGTTTTCTACAAATTTACCCTTTTAAACATGTTTTCAGATTCTTGTTGTGAAAAGAAAACTAGGTATATATATTAAGAAAAAAAAGGCAAAATACGAACCCCGCCCACCCGTTCTCATCTCAGTTGTAATAAAGTTTTTATTCGTCGTGACCTGAAGGGCGGAGTTTATTCCAAAATGCTTATTTCTCTAAAAGAAACTACCATGTGAAACATGCTTTTAAGTAAGGTGTTGTTGACAGGAAACTATATATTAAGAAAAAAAAAAAACACGAAAAATTCAATTGTGATGAATTTATCATTCGTTGTTTGACCGAGAGGCGGAGCTTAGTTGTAAAATCGATGTTACCCGACAAAAATTTACCATTTACCCCAAACACGCTATATTTTTGAAATCAGCACGTGAAAATAACCTTGAATTTTTTGACAATTTTTAGACGATTGTTTCAACAATGAAATTTTTTACTATGTATCCCTTATGCAAATTTCGACCCATTTTCGACAATTTTCGAATTTTAACTAAATACCTATTCTTGTAGATGGTCATTACATGGCAAACTTTTGGTCACCATGGGTAAAAAATCGTTACACGGTGACACAATAAATGTCAATTATCTGTCAAATTTTAATTAAACCACATTATAAAGGCCCCACAAAACAATGCCAATTATAGTGTAGAACAAAAAGTACGTTTTCGTATTTTACGAGATGTGAAACTGCAAAAATGATAAAATTTGATATTCCGTCATGATATATTTAGTTATAATAATTAACTAAATATAACCCTAGCAGTAGGAAATTATGTTTTTATTTCAAACTCCAGAAACATATCCAAATATCTAAAAATTAAAAAAAGTTTCAACGTGTTTTTTTCTAAAAAACGATCTACCATTGCACTGAAATTACTGACGTACTGTATAGCAGGCACTACAAAATCACAATATAAACAAACGAATAAGTTGTTCAAGTCACAAACGTCAGTTTACGAAAAACTGAAACTCCTCCGCCATCACAATGTCGAGACATCAGAGTTACTCAAGCAACATGCCCCCCCGATTTTCAAGATATTCCACCACACTAAAAGAACGACTCCCCGAAAGCTTATACGAAACCCAAAAAACCCAAGGCTTGCGTTTTAACGACATCTTCTTGCAACTCTTTTGCGAAAAAAATTCGGACGGATCGAAGAAATTAAGATTTCCGGGCAACGAATTAGCGCAACGTTTTGGGTATAACAATTTCTTCATTTACCATTAGCAAAAGCGCCAATTTAAATCGTTACAGGGACCGGATGTTTCCGGCAGACGTAATAAACATCTGCAACTTCCTCAAAAACCACCCTGAAGTGACCGAGGTTGATTTGAGTTATAATCCGATTGAGGACGAGGGATTGGAGTTACTTTGTCACATGACCCTCAAACATTCTAATGGTTTAGAACATTTGAGTTTGGAAAGCTGCAGTATTGGTTATAGGGGAATAAAAATATTTTATCTTGTGGCGCAAGAGGGCTACGTTAACTTGAAGACTTTGAGGTTAACCGGAAACGCTAACATTGGCCGACAGGTATAACGTTAGGGTCTGCTTACACAATTTTTATCCAGACAATCAAATTTTAGGGCGGCCACTTGCTGGCTTTGTCGTTGCCGTACATACAAACTCTGGAATATCTCGACATTGGAGACACCAACCAAGCAGTTGATAGTCTTGATTGCATTTTCCAAGCTGTGTATTACCACCCTCTCAAAGTCCTGAACGTCTCTAGACCCATTCCTCCTAACAATTTACTCCAAGTTGACCACACTAACCTCGCTAACAACATCAGCGAGATGTTTCGAGTCAGTTCCAGTTCAAACACCTGCACCCTCCACTCATTTTTATTTCCAGTTAAATCAAACCCTCGTCGAACTCCACGCCCAAAAGTGTGAACTCGACGCCCACTGTGTGGAAACCATGATTGAAGGCTTGAAACAAAACCGATCTCTGCGATTTCTTGATATCGGCTACAACAACATCTGCTGCGTCGGTGTAGAATTTTTGTCCGATTGGCTGAAAACTAGACCCGATCTTTTAGGCTTGAACATTGCTGGGAACAACGTCAAGGACTACGGAGGGGTGGCTTTGAGTTTCGGGATGCCTTTCAGCAAACTGAGATATTTAGATATCAGCTATAACCACATCGGGAATGAAGGGATTATCGCCATTTTGAACACAATCAAGAAACCGTATATGTTGAGGTACTTCATGTTGTGGGGGAACAACTTTAACCACCCGGCTAACGAGGTCTGGTTAGAGTTTTCGCAAGATTGATTAATTTTTTTGTTTTAAATTTCAGGTTATTCAACGCATGATGAAGTCCAAAGTGTTCGAACAGGACGGTATTGATGTTAAAATTTATTGCGTTGATGAAGTCTTGTATGCCGCACGTTACACTATTGATAGGTATAAGCACAGATATTATGGCGTCACGGACTATGGGTGTGCCGTGGAACTGAAAATTAAGAGAAATAGGCTCCCGAAGCCGGATGATAAGCCAAGGGCTTTGGTCAACTTTAAACACGTTGACAGGTATCCGGCTGTCGAAGTTCCAACGCTAGAAGAAATTCAGGAGCTGCGACGGAAACGAGAAGCAGAACGTCAATAAAGTAAATGTTTACAAAAAAAAAAGTTTTAAATCATTTATTTATAATGTCAATAACCTCACAGTACCACAGTATTGTTATCTACTCTGTGATATCAATGTTTGTTTCATTCGTTCCACTAACAGACGTGCAGCAACCCTTTAAACACGAAAACCCCACTTAGGGAATTCAGTGTTGCCAACTCACCAACTGTCAAACAAGACATTACGCAGAAATCAACTAATACCACCCAACGAAACAAATTCGAGTCACCCCGGTATCACAATGTGCTCCAATCAAGTATACATTTTATCAGGGTGCAGGACCGCAATTGGTAACTTCCAGGGCCAGTTTGATAAAACCCCGGCAGCAGTTTTAGGTTCGGTGGTAATTTCAGAAGCCCTAAAACGGGCTGCAATCAGTCCACAGGACGTTGATCAAGTGATAATGGGTCAAATTCTCACAACGGGTCAAGGACAAAACCCCGCACGTCAAGCCTCCGTGGGTGCCCACATCCCGTATTCTGTTCCTGCATACAGCATCAACATGTTGTGTGGATCTGGGTTAAAATCCGTCTGCCTAGCCTATCAAGCCATACGTAACAAAGATAACGAAATTGTTGTGGTTGGAGGGCAGGAGAACATGTCTAGGGCTCCACACTGTGCCTACATTCGCGGGAATAGATTCGGGGGTGTTGATTTTAACGATACTGTAATCACAGATGGGTTAACCGACGCTTACCATAACGTCCACATGGGGAAAACGGCGGAGTATCTGGCTAAAGAGTATAAAATAACCCGGGAAGCTCAAGATAAATTCGCGCTAGAATCACAAAGAAAAGCACAATTCGCTATTCAAGAGGGTCACTTTAAGAAGGAAATTGTCGGGGTTGTGGATGCGAAAACCGGGAAGATTTTGGATAGGGACGAATTTCCAAAAGGTGACACTAGTTTGGAAGGATTGGCCAGACTGAGACCAGCTTTTGACGCCAATGGAAGCGTAACTGCGGGGACTTCATCTGGGATTAATGATGGAGCTGCCGCGTTGGTGCTTTGTAGCGAAAATCAAGTACAACTGAGGCATTTACAACCTCTGGCCAAAGTCGTGGCGTTTGCAGAAGTCGGGATTGATCCGATGTCCATGGGTCTAGGGCCTATAGAAGCCGTGAAGAAAGTGTTAGCCAAAACGGGGTGGTCCAAAGAAGATGTGGATCTATACGAGCTTAATGAAGCTTTCGCCGTTCAGAGCATCCTGGTGATAGAATCTCTGCAAGTCGATGAGCGCAAAGTCAACATTAGTGGAGGCGCTATTGCTTTGGGACACCCTATAGGTGCTTCAGGAGCCCGCGTTCTTGTCACCTTGATTCACAACCTGCAAAGATTGGGCAAACGGAAAGGAATCGCATCTTTGTGCATTGGGGGAGGTATGGGTATAGCGATGGCCATTGAAATGTGTTAGGTTCGTTTTGTACATACTGTGTCATATTTTCCATTAAAATTTAAAAAATTGTCAACAATGTGAAACTTTGTATGTATTTACTGGACACCTGATTATTCCACTTTCAGACGGTCAAAAACTGGTGCCCGACATCTCACCGTAATACAAAAAAATTGGAATCCCAAGTTCAAAACTTCAGGTGCTGTGACCATATTTTCCGTGATTCTGTGCCAAAGCGATGGGATTCTATGTCAAATCGATGGCTTTCGTTACAACTAACTCAAATCCGGTGGGTTCCTTGTCATTTCTGTCGTGCTCCGTCCTAACCTAATTTTGACAAACTGTCGTACAGTATCTGATTTTACAGCGACTGGAGGGGCATTTCAGGGACAGTGATCTTGAAAGTTTTCGGACCACCATCGTCCGTTCTACATAAAGCAAACACCAAGTCAACGATATTCAAGATTTACTTATACTCCGTAATATTGCTTAATCACATTTTAATACAAAATTGCTAATGATATTAAATAAAAATTACGGATTAGATTTGTACCTATAGACACAAAGACATTTTGAATTTTTTCCCTCCGTTAAAGAAAATAAACAAATCTCTCATCTAAATATCGACGTTTAGCAAAAATATGAATTTTCAACTTACATTTACAAAATTTGCACCATCTCAAGCATACTATACAACAGCAACAACAAAAAAAAAAACCGCTCTGGTCGTCGCCTGTTGCTCGCTCCGAGCGCTCGGAGCCAACAACAAGCCTCGACCTCCCTTCGACGCAATATACAAAATGGAAACGTTCGTCGCAATGTATATTAGATATATCACTTTACAAAAATAAATATATTTCACCTAAAACAACTAAAGTACGAACTAAACAAATCCGCTTACACGACAACTTTCATCAGTCCCGCTTGGCTGTTCGTGCCCAAACTCGAATCGTCTAAAGAGTCTAGATCAAGCGCACTTTCTATCATCGTAGTGTCCTGTAACAACCTCAACCTGCTCGCACTCAACAGACTGTTCTCTTTGTCCTGCAAAGTCATGTCGTTGTCTAACTTATCGTCCTTCCTCTTATCTACAATGTGCGCGTCGCGCAGCACCACGGGGTCCAGGTGCAAGTCCCCCACCTCCCCCTTGCCCTCCGCCACGTTCAGGTTGTTCGCGTAGCTCTGAGACTTGCTCAGAGGCACCTGAGCGTGGCTCAGGATGTTGCTGTAGACCGGCGACTGATTCAAGTTGGTCTGGGAGGTGTACTGGTGCTCGGTCGTCTTCTGCAAGACGGGAGCTATGGCCAGTGGCTGCTCGTTGCTCACTAGGTGAGTAACGCTGCCGGCGTTGCTGTCTGCAAAAACGCCAAAAGTGAGTAGGTGCTCGGAGAGCGGGCGACGCGACAACACTGCGCCTACGAAACGAACCAAACTAAATGGAAGCACTAAAAAAGCGAAAACGAAATTCAGTGAAGCTGGAAGACTTTCAGCCGCATCACACTTCCCAATCATGCACAAAGGACACTTACCGGATTTAATCAGACACCCTCCACCAACGCGTCGCATCGCAAGAACAAATCAATGCAACAATAAATAACAGAACTTACGAACTAAATAACAGACACGAAATTAAACTCGAATCAAAAGCAACAGTTATATAAAAGTTGTAAAAGATAAAAAGCGGAAAACATACGTTCCGAGTGTATAGAAATGTGAGCTCGTTCGAGTTTTGATTACACTGATTATCATTTGTTATCGAAGGGTAAGTTACACCACTTTTAAATACAATGTCAACGATTAATATAATAAATAGCAATCTAATACAAAATATTATCTAAATTCTTATTTCTACTTATAAAATCGCACTGAGGTTAATCACAAATGTCGTGGTTATAGAGATTATGATGCAACATTATTTCATTGGTATTTTCTATGGAGTGACGATTTGTAAATCACAACGTTCGCAAGTCTCGTTTCTTTGTTCGGACGGGAGCTTTCAAGGGTCGGAAGAAATATGCTTCATTAATTTAAAAAACGTTACCAAAAACATACGCAGAACATTTTTTATTGTACAAAACACCGAAAATAAAATTAATCGAAGTTGGCTCTGCCTGTCAAAGTTTGGGTAGTACTACTTACCCAATTCTGCTGATACGTTAAATACACCGACGTTGCCACACTTTAAAATTAAAACTATATGCAACCAACAATACTTCCAAAAATTGAATCCATTACCGTATGACTTTAAATTAAGACTGGAAACAAAGATTTCAAAGTCGTAGGGCGCAGTTTAATTATTTTAACCTCAATTTGTAGCAATGACAATTATATAAAAAATACTTAAACTACGCCCTACGTCTTTCACATATTTTGTTTCCAAAGCCTCCCCTTACGTCAAAATATAAAGAAACACTTTGCGTTAAGTTTTGACAACTGACACAACGATGTGTCAGTTGGGCAGTAGTACCACCTATATCACAACAGGACTCACAGCCTACTCTAAAGGTCGATTTATAAACTTGTCGCTGACGTTGCCGTTCGCCGTTGGGGTGACGTTCAAGATGACCAACTTTTAACTTTCGCCGTTACATTGCCGTTGACGTTAGGTTTTCAACCAATCAAATGGCCGTAGTATGCACTGCTGCCAACTTGAAGGAAAATTCCCTGAAGTAGGGGGGACATTTTTCTGGTTGAGAAAGAAGAAAAGTAAAACATGTTTAAAATGGTAAATTTTTGTAGATCACGATTGAGATAGAGACGGATGGGTGGGGCTTTTCTTTTGGTTTTCTTTTTTAATTAATACATTTAGTTTTCTTTGTATAACACGATTACTTAAGAACATATTTCACATGCCAAATTTTCGTAGAAAAATACGAATTTTACAATTAAGCTTCGCCCCTCGGCTTACGACGAATAAAAAAAATCATCAGAATTGAGACAGGGCGGGTGGGTGGGGCTTATATTTTGCCGTTTTTTACTTAATATACATAGCCATTTCACAACAAGAAACTTAAAACATGTTTAAAATGGTACATTTTTGCAAAGAAATATGGATTTTTCAATTATGGGACAGAGCCTAATTGCAAAATCGATATTTCCTTATAGAAACTTTCCATTTTAGGCATGTTTTAAGTTTCATGTTGTGAAAAAAAGTCTACACGTATTAAAACAAAAATTCAAAATGTAAGCCCGCCCACCCACCCTATCGCAATTGTGATGATTTTTTTTATTCGCCGTGAACCAAAGGGGACGGACGGAGCTTAACTGCAAAATACTTATTTCTTCAGAAGAAATTAAAAACATATTTTTTCACTAGTAGCCATGAAGCATGCAATTGTGAACTTGTTTAGAGGTAGTAAAGTTCAACTTTTGCTACCAACGTTCAAAAAAATTGAGGATATGTATGAAATACTTGCTGTGATTATTTGTTAAAAAATGAATAAATCTGTACTACCAACATTAGTTGAGTTAGTTAGTAGACGGTGGAAGATAAAATGATTCATTCAGCGACAAGTGTAAACGGTTTCCTTTATGTTGAAGATTTAGATTAAGTTTGATTAGAAATCAAAACAAAATCATTTTGCGTCAAAAATTGAAGATTTATTTTTTCAATTTATTGTCTTACGGTTTCTACTAGTGAAAGAAATAATACATATATTAACCACGGTTGTGAAGTCACTTCTAGACCTCGCGCTTTAGAGCCCTCGATGCTGTGCGTCTCGTGTTCTAATTTGCGCTCGGTCTAGAATGTTTGGCTTCACAACCTTGGTTAATAATATACTATTTCAGTATCGTGTTGTTCAAAGAATAATATGTACGTTAAGAAAAAACGGCGAAATATAAACCCCGCCCACCCACCCCATCTCAATTGTCATGATTTTTTTATTTTTAGAAACCGAAAACACATTTAAAATGGTAAATTTTTGTAAGTAAATATGGATTTTGCTACTAGGCTCCTTCATTACTATTTAGATTTAGATCAGGGCAGGTATGGGTGGGGCTTAATTTATGGATCTAATTTTTCCATAATATACATAGTATTCTTTTGAATAACGATACTCAAAAAAATGTCTTACATGGTAATTTTTTGTACAGAAATAATAAGAATTTTGCATTTAAATTCCGCTCCTTCGGCTCTCGACAATTAAAAAAAAATCATCACAATTGAAAAAGGGCGGGTGGGTGGGGCCTATATTTTGCCTTTTTTCTTAATATACATAGTCGTCTTTTCAGAACAAGAAAGTTAAAACATGTTTAAAATGGTAAATTCTTTAGACAAATATCCATCTTGCAATTAAGCCCCGCCCCTCGATCTGACAACGAATGAAAAATTCATCACAATTGAGAATTGAGATCGGAGCGGGTATGAGTGGGGCCTAATCTTTGCCTTTATTTTTTCAAAAACATGTTTTTAATCCCTCGTAGAGAAATAAGGATTTTGCAGTTAAGCTCCGCCCTCTTGGCTCACGACGAATAAAAACAATCATCACAATTGAGACAGGGTGGGTGGGCGGGGCTACATTTTGCCCCTCTTCTTCTTATATTGTAGACTTATTTCGACCACAAGAAACTTAAAATATGTATAAAATGGTAAATGTTTGTAGTAATCAACTTAAATTCTCCACCTTTCTTCTACAACCCCTTTAAATACGGCAAAAGTTGAACATCAAAGTTACTATCGACGGCAACTTAGCAACGGAATTTATAAATGACAATTTATATTTCAACGTCAACAGCAAGTTTATAAATCCCACTTAATTCGTTTTATTTTCGATCGCACTGTACAATAAGAAAAAAGGAAAGTAACTCAATATTCGAGAATTGAAGCTGAAAATATTCACTCAGTAAAAGTGTTGATGTCGATCTTAATTTTAGCTCTAAATTACACTGTAATACCATTTTTGTAAAGATGTACTTACAACTGTGACACAATAAAAATACAAATAGTTGGGTTCTGTTTAGCAGATATGGCTAGAGACATGGCAGACTTATGAAGTAGAAAATCTAAATAAAATAATTTTAATCTATAAAATTAATTTTTTAACATTAATGCCACTGTTTTAAAAATTGGTGTTTAATTGATGTCTACTTTTGTACGTGTTATATTACAGATCAGTTTGATTTTCCTTTTGATTTTATTTTGCAACCAGAAATTAGAAACTATTGCGCCGATACGTCATAAAATATGTCTTATAGAAGCACATTATCTATTTTCCCAATTGAACCAAAAAAAAAAAACCTAAGTCAATGTACAAATTGTTTCAACGCTAATTTCGACGCTTGTCTGGTTTGGAATTTACACTCGAAAAGTCCTATATCAAACATCAGTCCTACACATTTCAGTATTTGTTGTAATAGAACCTAACCTCAATTTGAGGTCTGAGTATTTTTCATATCTTTTTTTGTTTGGAATTGATTTATTCATTATCATACTACTTGGTTCGTCAGGCCAGGATGAAAAACTGTTAGAACATACCCTTAGCCTTTAGGATATCTAGGTAACAACTAGAATTAGCAAGTTTAATTTTTATTGATATTTGTTTTGTCCTAGCATCCAATAAAGATATTATTATTATTATTTATTTACAAACGTTGTTAAGAATCTTCTGACTCATGAATCCAAGTTTAAAATTTCATACAAAATTGTTTATAGCTGTATTGTTTTCCAAACTCAAAGGTCTTGGAGTGGGTAAAAATTTAGTACAGTCGGAGCAACAAGAGTTGAGCAGTCTAATAATAGAAACGTTGTAGCGAGACCGCTTCAGTCTTGTTTCGTCAAGTACAGCGTAATTTTGACTAACCTAGTTTTTCAGTCAAAATTCATCAAAATTGATTAAGTCGAAGTAGTCAGTCTACAAAATGACGAATTGTTAGTTTCGTTTGATCTTGATCTTGGTTTACTTTTTCCAAGTGTGTCAATCCCCTAAACTTTAATACTTTTCAATTTGTCCGAAATTTCTTGGTCTAAATCGTCTCAGTTTCCGAAAAGTATCAATTTTCAGTCAAAATTTAAGATATTTTCCATATTCCGACAGCTTTAGCTTTGCCACGTTGTATCAAATTTTTTTTTATTCGAAGTCCAGAAAAACAATAAGAAACATCTGACCTAGAAATCAGCTTCTCGTCAAATTTGCTTATCAGAATTGTGATATCAACTTTTTAGACCCACTTGTGATTAGAAACAATAATAGAATGGAATTCCATTCATTTTTAAAGTGGAGATTTAGAATTAGTTACACTGCGAATTTCTAGACATTTTACACTTTCTAGAAACATTTAAAAATAGGGGGAAAGCGGCAGACATTTAGTCGTCCCGACAATGCCAACCTTTCCCGTTTTGTACTATTGGAAATTCCTTTGATCTTTTCATTATCCTCCAAAATCCTACCTTTACCCTCCCGCCTCGCTTCCGACCCCCGAACCGCCCTCCCCCGAACCCAGACTCGCCTAAATGCACTTAAATAACCACCCCCGCCCCGCCCTGCCCGCCCCCTCCCCTACTCAAAACTCTCCTGGATGTACATCTGGCTGAACTCCGGCGTGGGGAAGTTCTTCACTTTCGGCGTCAGACTCATCACCTTGTCGCTCCGCACCCGGTTCATGCAGAACTCGTCCTGGACGTGGACGTTCTCGTAGACGCAGCTCCGCGGCCGCTGCTTGGCCGGGGGCGGCGCCCTCGCGCCGAAGTTCGCGCTGTACCGCTTCTCGGGCGGCGTGTACGGCCTCAAGGTCGGGTAGTTGGCGGGTTCGGGCGAGGTCGGCCGCCCCGACAGAGTTTTGAGTTGGGGGAGCGAACGGCTGTTCTTGAACACCTCCAACGGAGGGTTGATCGCGGGCTTGCGCGTGGGGGTGTTGTAGTCGTAGGGGGGCAAGAGGGGGGCCTGGGAGGGGATGATCTTCTGGCTGGCACAGTTTTTGGACGGTATTATGTGTTGCGCGCGATATAGGTGCTTCTTTAGCGGACTGTACATACCGGTTGTTTCGGTCGTTTGACGGTAGATGCCGGGCATGTCGGTGGAGTTCATGGTGACTTGGGTGGGTCCGTTCTGGAAAAAAAGAACATGAAAGTCGACTATTCTAACCCTACTTTACAAACAACTTAACCTAATATGACAACCAAATTACTAGATTTGCATGGCCTACCTCTGTCTAAAAAAATCCAGAACGGTTTAATTAATACAAGTAATGTCAAAATTTCAAAAATCAGAGGTACCTGTGGAGTTATTAAAGGTTAACAGAAATGTTTTCCGCACGGAATGTACCATTCCTGCCATTATTATTTTAAAATTATTGGTTATGTCAAACTGATCTGCTTAGTTTTTACATGGCCGACTAGTATAAAGATTATGGCCTGTCCAAAGGTACCATACGTGCTGCCATCTATTAATAATTCAAAAACGACAAAAGAATTATTAACACTTTTTGAAACGCACAAAGGCATTCATACCGAAACAAACGACCATTACACGTTTTGAAGTCTCATAATGTCAAATCAAATTAAAATTTTGCTAAATTATTAAGTGTAATTATTAATAGATGGCAACACATGTGGTACCTCTTGGACAGGCCATAATCTTTATGCTAGTCGGCCATGGTTTTTATTCAGTGAGTATTTCCAGAGAACATAGAGAAGCGTCATAGTTTAAATTAAATGACAGTTGAGGACTCCTCGATTTACGTTGGCAACAGTGTTTGTTTCTAACTAGGAATAAAATTAACTACAATAGAAAATGTCATAATATTTTTAAGGACGCGTTTTACTTTCGACAAATTGACACTAGATTTTTCAATTGATTGATTTTTCAGGGTCCTTGGTTTTTTAATTTTTCTATTTTTTCAGGTTTCGATTTTTCAACTTCACTTTTTTGATTTTTCGATTTCTCAATTTTTCAATTCTTTAATTTCTCAGTTTTTGGACATTTCAGTTTTGGGATTTTTCAGTTTACTTATTATTCAATTTTTCGATCTTACGATTTTGCAGGTTTTTGATTTTTCAATTTTTCGATTTTTTTAAGGTTTCGATATTTCGACTTCACTTTTTTGATTTTTCGATTTCTCAATTTTTCGACTCTTTAGGTTCTCAATTTTTGGATATTTCAGTTTTTCTTACCTTTTCCATTTTTGACTTCTGGATTTTTCGATGTGTCGACTTTTTATTTTTTCGATTCAATTTTTCAAATGCTTCGATTTCTTAACCTATCGATTTTTCGACTTCCCGGTTTAAGATTTTCTGTTTTTCAATTGTCGTTTTTTCAAATTTTCGATTTTTCAATTTTTCAAATTTGACATTTAAACTGCAAATTTTTCGATTTTTCAATTAATCGATGTTTTGATTTTTCCATTTCTTGACTTTCGAGGGCTTCGATATTCCTGTTCTTCAATTCTTTAATTTTTCGATTTTTCATTTTTTAGTTTTTTAAGGTTTCGATTTTTCGACTTCACTTTATGGAATTTTCGATTGCTCAATTTTTCGACTTTTTAGGTTCTCAGTTTTTGGATATTTCAGTTTTCGGATTTTTCAGATTTTCCATTTTTCAGTTTCTCGATATCTCAGTTTGGGATTTTTCAATATTTCCATTCTTCGACCTTTCGATTTTTGACTCCTAGATTTTTCGATGTGTCGATAATTTTACTTTCCCGCTTTTCCAATTTTTCAACTTTTAACTTTTTGTTTGTCGATTTCTCTATTTTTCGATTTTTCGACTTCATCACTTTTCAATTTCTCGTTCTTTTGATCTTTCAATCTCTCAATATTTCAATTTTTCGAATTTTTTAGTTTTTTGATTTCTCAATTTATAAATTGTTCAATTTTTAACTTTTCGATTTTGGCCTATTTCGGTTTCTCAATTGTTCGATTTTTCGACTCCACCATTTCTTGATCTTTCGATTTTTCGATTTCTTGGTTTTTCGATTTTCCAGTTTTTCGATGTTTCGATTTTTTAGTTATCCGATTTTTTAAATTTTGGAGTTTCGATTTCTCGATTTTTCGTTATTAGATTTTTAAATATTTCGATTTTTCGATTTTTGACTTTCATAAACCCTTTATTTGTCGATTTTTCAATTGACTGATTTTTAGGTTTTTTGGTTTTTTAATTTTTCTATTTTTGCAGGTTTCGATTTTTCAATTTTTTAATTTCTCAATTTTTGGACATTTCAGTTTTGGGATTTTTCAGTTTACTTATTATTCGATTTTTCGATCTTACGATTTTGCAGGTTTTTGATTGTTCAATTTTTCGATTTTTTTAAGGTTTCGATATTTCGACTTCACTTTTGTGATTTTTCGATTTCTCAATTTTTCGATTCTTTAGGTTCTCAGTTTTTGGATTTTCAGTTTTGGGATTTTTCAGTTTTTCTTTCATTTTTCAGTTTTTCGATATTTCAGTTTTGGAATTTTTCAATATTTCTGTTCTTCCGACTTTTCCATTTATGATTTCTGATTAATTTTTCAATATTTAAAATTTTAGATTTTCCTATTTCTCGATTTTTCATTTCAGCTCTTCCATATTTCAATTTTTCAAATGTTTCGACTTCTTAATCTATCGATTTTTCGACTTCCCGGTTTTAGATTTTCTGTTTTTCAATTGTCGTTTTTTCAAATTTTCGATTTTTCAATTTTTCAAATTTGACATTTAAACTGTCAATTTTTCGATTTTTCAATTAACGATGTTTTTGATTTTCCCATTTCTTGACTTTCTAGAGTTTCGATATTCCTGTTCTTCAATTCTTTAATTTTTCGATTTTTCATTTTTTAGCTTTTTAAGGTTTCGATTTTTCGACTTCACGTTTTGGATTTTTCGATTGGTCAATTTTTCAACTTTTTAGGTTTTCAGTTTTTGGATATTTCAGTTTTCGGATTTTTCAGGTTTTCCATTTTTCAGTTTCTCGATATCTCAGTTTTGGGATTTTTCAATATTTCGATTCTTCGACCTTTCGATTTTTGACTCCTGGATTTTTCGATGTGTCGATTATTTTACTTTTTCGATTTTTCAGTTCAGTTCTTGGATATTTTTCAAAGGTTTCGATTTCTTAATCTTTTGATTTTTCGACTTCCCCGTTTTGGCTTTTATGTTTTTCAATTGTCATTTTGTCAAACTTTCTATTTTTTAATTTTTTAAATTTGACTTTCATAAACTCTCAATTTTTCGATTTTTCAATCAATCAATGTTTTGATTTTCCCATTTCTTGACCTTCCAGTGTTTCGATTTTCCTGTTCTTCAGTTCTTTAATTTTTTGATTTTTCAATTTTTCGATTTTTTAAGGTTTCTATTTTTTCGACTTCACTTTTTTGATTTTTCAATTTTTCAGTATTTAGATATTTCAGTTTTAGAATTTTTCTTCGGCTTTTCTATTTTTGACTTCTGGATCTTTCGATGTGTCTACCTTTTTACTTTTTCGATTTTTCAATTTTTGGATTTTTAAATTTTAGATTTTCCAATCTTGATATTTAATTTTTCAACATTTCTTAATCTTTCGATTTTTCGACTTCCTGGTTTTAGATGTTCTGTTTTTCAATTTTTCGATTTGTTAATTTTTCATTCCCGATTTATCAATATTTGATTGTTCAGGTGTTCGATTTATCAGTTTTCAATGTTTTATTTTGGCCTATTTCGGTTTCTCAGATTTTCCAGTTTTCCATTTTTCCGTTTTTTGATTTTTCCGCTTTTCCAATTTTTCAACTTCTAACTTTTTGTTTGTCGATTTCTCTATTTTTCGATTTTTCGACTCCACCATTCCTTGATCTTTTGATTTTTCGATTTCTCGATTTTTCGATTTTCCAGTTTTTCGATGTTTCGATTTTTCAGTTATCCGATTTTTTTAATTTTAGATTTTTGAATTTTACATTTTTTCGATTTTCTCATGCTTCATTTTTCGATTTTCAGTTCTTCGATATTTCGGTTTTACGATTTTTTAAGGTTTCGATTTTTCGATTATTAGATTTCTCGATTTTTCGAATTTTCAATGATTTTAATTTTTCATTTTTTTTTCTCACTGTCAATATCATACAGTGTATCGAAAACAACCACAAAAATTGTCACTAAAAACATTTAAAAATTCATACAAAATAGAACACAGTGTTTCCAAAACATTTTCCCGAAAAAAATCCATTGGGTTGTTACGATTTCAACTATATTCTTAGTTTAAGACGTTTTGCTAGTATAAAACATAAATAAAGAATTAATTCTTAGTTAAACAAAATATGTACCAAAAATATTCACTTAGTCGTTATAAAAACCGACCAAACAACTACTAGAAATTATAGTCCAAACCAACCAAATCGCTTCTGAATGCTTAGAGTCGACATTGGCCTGAGCGCGTTCTGGTCTGTAGATCAAACAAGTTCTCAGGCGACGAGTTGTAGTGAAACAAGTTTCTCTATTGGCATCGACTATTTAAATTTGGCGCTTGAGGACTCCAATGTCAATAAGGGTGGTTTTGCAAAATCAGCCTGTATGTCGCATATATATTAATCGATGGTATTTCCACATAAACAAGACTCACTGAAGAAACATTTCTTTCATAAGATTAAAAGTAGGCTGAAGGATTTATTCTAAACAGAGACATAACCAAAATCTTCTGATTCATCATCAGATGATTCCATTCAAGGATTCCATTAATTGTGTACTTGACAAATGTTTTGCACCTACCTTCACTGAGATTTGAGGGAATGATTATGTGTGGCTCTCAAAAAAAAACCAAAAACTTCCATCGGGGTGAACTTACAATGACATGATGACACTAATTACGCTAATTAAATTGACATTTAAACGCCGCCGTCTTTGTTTAAAATTTTAGTCAGTGCCACCAACATTTCTTTAAAAAGAATACAAGGGAATTTGTTATTACACCAGTCTTTTTTAATATTTACGTCATTTAAGCTAATACCGTGTGATCTGACCATATGTAGATATTTCCGTATCAATAAATCTAACACCTGTGCAACTATAAATAACCCCCCTAAAAATATTTACCTGTACAGCAACTCCGTAACTCTTTATGGGTTGATTAATTTCTGCGTTGACAGGTCTGGATATTTCTGCTCTGTAGTCATCAGTAACGATACCTCTCCTACAACACACTCCCAACAGTTAAACAAAAACAACCTCTTATCCACAACCTGTCCAACAAAGATGGCGTTACCGGTCCACACAAAATATAAAAACAGTTCAAACACACATTCCCTTGGGAATACGGATTCATGTTTTCTTGACCTCGTTTGCTAGCGAAGGACCCTTTAATCTAAAACCACCAACATAGAAACGCAAAAAACCCCAAATCCTCACTCACATCTTCGTTTGTTGTTTGATTGCTCGTGGTCAAATACGTATGGAAGCCTGCTAAACCTAATATACTCCAAACACTAAAAAAACAAATCGTCGCCACTATGACACTCGGTGGAGACTCTTTCACAGCTTCAAGAAACTGACCATCATTGGTTTTCGTAACTGGAAAACTAAGTTAAACGAGAGGAAACCTGCGGATACTCACGGACTTACTTAATATTAAATGAGCTATGGCACAAGCGAATATAAATACCGCTAAAAAAGCTAATGATACTATAAACATGTAGAAAAAACGATAATTTCGTCGCCCCACGCAATTTCCAACCTGCAATTTTCTCGGTAATTTATTCAATTATTTAGTTTAGCGTGATTATACCCAAGGGCAGTGATGATCAAACCTATCGACACAATTATCACACAGACTGCAATGTGATGCTCTCGGCGGCCTGAATATTTTACACGTAAAACAGTACTTTAGTTTGATGGTTTGACCCTTAACCAACACCTCTTTCGTGCGAGGAGGCGGCCTGTAGGTTGGGCTGTTGGCAGAGTTCGTCACTTCTGCAATTCGGTACTGTATTATCATATTATAGGCAGAAGAAAATCCGAACAACTTAGATCGTTTGCACAGGTCTGTCTAGTTATTCAATGTATTGTATTCAAAGTTGATTAATATAGTCAAAAAAAAAAAAAAAATTCTAAAGCCTTAATTTTTTTTCAGATCCTCCCTGTGTACGCAAATATCAAACATAAAAACATGTGATAAAAAAAAGTCGTCTAGTCAACCATGAAATTATTTTTTGGTTCTCTAAAATTGTCTTTAACGTGCTCTGTTTTTAAGGCACAATCCTAAAACTGAAATGTCGAAAAATTGCAAAACCGAGGATTTGAGAAATCGAAACATTCATTAAAAGATCAAAAACTCGCAGAATCGAAAAACCGAAATAGCACAAAATCGAAAACCTGAAAATTTGAAAAATTTTAAACCGAAAAATTGTTAAAATCGAAAAATTGAAATATCTAAAAGTGAGAAATTGAAAAATCGAGATATCGAAACATCAGAAAATGAAAAATCTAAAATTTAAAAATTCGAAAAATTGGAAAATTAAAAAATTGAAAAAGTGAGAAATCAGACAGTCAAAAAATCAAAAAATCGAAAAATTGAAGAGTCGAAAAATAAAACAATCGAAAAACTAAAAATTGGAAAATCGAAAAATGAAAACCGAAAAATTGAAAATTGAAAAACTGAAAAAACCAAAAATCGAAAAATTTCACATTGAAAAAAGAAACATTATTAAATCAGAACAGTGAAAAACCGAAAAACTGAAAAATCCAGACGTTGGAAAATCGAAAAACTGACAAATTTAAAAATTAAAACTCTAGAAGAGTTGCATATCGTAAAATTGAAAAAAAAAAGAATTGAAATTAAAAAAAAAAACTAAAAAATCGGAACATTGAAAATAGAAAATTTGAAGAAATGAACAATTAAAGAATCGAAAAATTGAAAAATCTAAAATCGAGAAGTTGAAAAACTGAGAAATGGAAACATCGGAAATTAAAAACTATAAAATTTAAAAATTCGAAAAATGAAAACCGAAAAATTGAAAACTGAAAAACTGAAAAAACCAAAAATCGATAAATTTCACATTGAAAAAAGAAAAATTATTAAATCAGAACATTGAAAAACCGAAAAACTGAAAAATTGTAAAATTAAAAACTGAAAACTCGTGAAAATGCAAATCGAAAACTGAAAAATCGAGAAGTTGGAAAATTCGAAAAACTGACAAATTTAAAAATGAAAACTCTAGAAGAGTTGCATATCGTGAAATTGAAAAAAAATGAATAATTGAAATTAAAAAAAAACAAAAAACCAAAAATCGGAACATTGAAAATAGAAAATTTGAAAAATTAACAATTGAAAACTTGAGAAATATTAATTGAAAAATTGATGAAAAATGAAAAACTGAAAAATCTAAAAGCGAGAAGTTGAACAACTGAGAAATGGAAACATCAGAAATTTAAAAATATAAAATTTAAAAATTCGAAAATTTGAAATAATGGAAAATCCCAAAACTGAACCTAAACTTTGAGAAATGGGAAAATTGAAAAATCTAGAAATCAGAAAGTCAAAAAATCGGTTAATCTAGGAATCCAAAAATTAAAAACGTCAAAAATTGAAAAATTTAAATCGAAAAATTGAAAAAATTGTAAAACTGAAGTATCGGAAAATTAAGAAATCGAAAAATCTAAAATATAAAAAAATGGAATTGGATACTCAAAAACTGAAAAATCGGGTAACTGAAATGTTTGAGAAGTCGAAAAATCGAAATCTCGATAAATCGAAAAAATGAAAAAATTAAAATCCAAAATCAAAAATTTTAAAAATCGGAAAAATGAAAACTGAAAATTCTAAAATTTAAAAATTAAAAAAATTGAAAAATCGAAGAATTGAAAAATCGAAAAATTAAAATTTCGAACAATTTAAAAATCAATAAATCAAAAGATCGAAAAATCGGAAAATCTAGAATTTAAAAAATTAAAAAGAATTAATGAAAAATCCCAGAACTGGAACACCGAAACCCTGAGAAATCGAAAAATCGAAAAATTAAAAAATCGTAAAGCTGAAGTATCGAAAAATTAAGAAATCGCAAAATAAAGCAATCCAGAAATTAAAAAAAAAAAAAAATAAAAACTGGAAAATCGAAAAATGAAAACCGAAAAAATTGAAAAATCCAAAAATCGAAAAATTCACATGGAAAAAAGAAAAATCCTTGAATTAGAACATTTAAAATCCGAAAAGTTGGAAAAATAAAGAAAATAAAAACAGTAACGAAAAATTTAAAACTCGTGAAAATGCAAATCGAAAAACTGACAAATTTAAAAATCGTAACATTGAAGAGACAATTTGAGAAATAAAAAATTAAAGAATCGAAAAATTAACAATTGAAAACTCGAGAAATTTCAGTCGAAAAATTGCAAAATCTAAAAACTGAAGAAACGAAAAAGTTGAAAAACTGAGAAATGGAAACATTGGAAATTAAAAACTATAAAATTTAAAAATTCGAAAAATGAAAACCGAAGAATTGAAAATTGAAAACTGAAAAAACCAAAAATCGAAAAATTTCACACTGAAAAAAGAAAAATTATTAAATCAGAATATTGAAAAACCGAAAAACTGAAAAACTGTAAAATTGAAAAATAAAAAACTGAAAACTCGTGAAAATGTAAATCGAAAACTGAAAAATCCAGAAGTTGGAAAATTCGAAAAACTGACAAATTTAAAAATTAACTCTCGAAGAGTTGGATATAGTAAAATTGAATAAAAAAAAATGAATAATTGAAATTAAAAAAAAAACAAAAAATTAAAAAATCGGAACACTGAAAATGGAAAATTTGAAAAATTGAAAAATTAACAATTGAAAATCGAGAAATATCAATCGAAAACTCGCAAAATCTACAAACTGAAGAAACAAGAAAAATGAAAAAAAATTTAAAAATTCGAAAAATGAAAACCGAAAAACTGAAAATTGACAAACTGAAAAAACCAAAAATCTAAAAATTTCACATTGAAAAAAGAAAAATTGTTAAATCAGAACATTGAAAAACCGAAAAACTCAAAAATTGTAAAACTGAAAAATTAAAAATTGAAAACTCGTGAAAATGCAAATCGAAAATCGTAAAATTGAAACAAAAAAAAAATGAAAAAAAAACAAAAAACTAAAAAATCGGAACATTGAAAATAGAAAATTTGAAAAATTGCAAAATCTGAAAACTGAAGAAAAAAGAAAAATGAGAAAGTGAAAAATTTAACGCGTGAAGTTGAAAAATTGAGAAATGGAAACATCAGAAATTAAAAAATATAAAATTTAAAAATTCGAGATATTGAAATAATAGAAAATCCCAAAACTGAACATCGAAACCTTCAGAAATAGAAAAATTGAAAATTCGAGAAGTCAGAAAGTCGAAAAAGGAGAAGCCAAAAAGTCGAAAAATCAAAAAATCGGTTAATCGAGAAATCCGAAATTTAAAAACACCAAAAATTGAAAAATTAAATCGAAAAATTGAAAGGTCGAAATATTAAAAAAATCGTAAAATTGAAGTATCGGAAAATTAAGAAATCGAAAAATCTAAAATGTAAAAAATGGAAAAATTTGATACTCAAAAAACTGAAAAATCGAGCAACTGAAATGTCGAAAAATCGAAACATCCAAATCTCGATAAATCGAAAAATTGAAAAAATTAAAAACTGAGAAATCTAAAAGCAAGAAGTTGAAAAATCGAGAAATCGAAATATTAAAAAATAAAAAATCTAAAATTAAAAAATCGAAAAATTAAAATTTCGAACGATTGAAAAATCAGTAAATCAAAAAATCGAAAAATCTAGAACTTAAAAAAAAAATAATGAAAATCTCAAAACTGAAACACCGAAATTGAAAAATCGAGAAATCAGAAAATTGAAAAATAAAAAGTCGATAATCGTGAAATCCGACATTTAGAAACGCCAAAAATTGAAAAATTGAAATAGAAAAATGGAGGGGTCGAAAAATTAAAAAATCGTAAAGCTGAAGTATCGGAAAATTAAGAAATCGAAAAATGAAAACCGAAAAATTGCAAAAATCGAAAAATTTCACATGGAAAAAAGAAAAATCCTTGACTTAAATTTAATTGAAAACTGAAAAAATTAAGAAAATAAAACCAGTAACGAATTGAAGACATGAAAAATTGAAAACTCGTAAAAGTGTAAATCGAAAAATTGAAGAATCCAAAAATTGGAAAATCGAAAAACTGAAAAATTTAAAAATTAAAACTCTAGAAGAGTTGCACAACGTAAAACTGAAGAAACAAAAAAATTAAAAATTGAAATTAAGAAAACAAAAAATTATAAAATTGGGACCTTGAAAAATCGAAAAATTGATGAATCGAAAAATGGGAAAAATTAAAATCCAAAAATCAAAAATTTTAAAAATCGGAAAAATACAAAACTGAAAAATCTAAAAGCAAGATGCTGAAAAATTGAGAAATCGAAACATCAAAAAATAAAAAATTTAAAATTTAAAAATTCGAAAATTTGAAAAATCGAAGAATTGAAAAATTGAAAAATTAAAATTTCGAACAATTGAAAAATCAATAAATCAAAAGATCAAAAGTCCAAAAATCTAGAATTTAAAGAAAAATCAATGAAAAATCCTAAAACTAAAACACCGAAACCTTGAGAAATGGAAAAATTGAAAAATCGAGAAATCAGAAAGTCTAAAAAAAGAGAAAACGAAAAGTCGAAAAATAAAAAAAATCGATTATCGTGAAATCCGAAATTTAGAAACGCCAAAATTGAAAAATTGAAATCAAAAAATTAAAAAATCGTAAAGTTGAAGTATTGCAAAATTAAGAAATCGAAAAATAAAGCAATCGCCAAATTTAAAAAAATTAAAAATCAGAAAATCGAAAAATATAAACCGAAAAAATTGCAAATTGAAAAACTGAAAAATCAAAAAATCGGAAAATTTCACATGGAAAAATGAAAAATCCTTTAATTAGGACATTTAAAAACCGAAAAACTGAAAAAATAAAGAAAATAAAAACAGTAACGAAAATGGAAGTCATGAAAAATTGAAAAAACGTAACATTGAAAAGTCGTGAAAATGCAAATTGAAAAATTGAAGCAACAAAAAATGAAAAATTGAAATTAAAAAAACAAAAAATTATAAAATTTTCCAATTTTTGAAAAATTGAAAATTTTAAGAAATTAAAAAGTGTGCGCTAATAAAGTGTCAAAGAAAAATGTATTTCTCTTGACAGAATATTTGACATATACAGGGTGAGTCCTCAATATCTCATTAATTACTAAGAGTTTGAAAGACGAAAATTTTTTTTCTGAAATTATTTTTAACGTGTTCTGCATAAATTATATATTTTAAACAAAACACCCTATATATATTTACATATTCTTATTAGTCTCTTCCTAGACTTTATAACTACAAATTATTTTTGAAATTTCGATGCGACGTTGCCACGTTATTCCAATTTTCTTGAAAGTTTTTGGCAGTTGAAAGGTTCACAAAAAAAATCGCAGTAGGGTTATTTTAAAAATCTGTGTTACAATATTTTGTGGAAGGATCAATAAAGGTGCACGCTTTGTTGTATTTTAATATACAAAGTGTTTATAAAGAAAATCAAAAATTTGCAATTTTCAAATATCGACATTTCAGTTTTTTCAAATAGAACATTCTGTATCTTATTACTATTTCTTACTCTATTTTTTGTTGTCATTCTTCTAGTACATAATACTAATAATAATAAGATCAGGTGTTCTGTTTGAAAAAATTTAAATATCGAAATATTTTTTTAACACTCTGTATATGACAATTCAATTTTATATATAGCACAACAACGCGCGTACCTTTATGCATCTCTTCCCAAAATATCGTAACATATATTTCAGTAATAACCCCACTGCGATTTTTTTGTGAACCCTTCCATTGCTAAAAAAAATCAAGATAAATTGAAATAACGTGGCAACGTCGCATCGGAATTTTAAAAATAAACTGTGGTTATAAAGTGTAAGAAGAGGTCAATCAAAATATGTAGAAAGATATAGGGCGCTTCATGTTAAAAACTAAGTTGTCTTAAAAACAGAATAATCTGTATAGTTAAAAATAATTTTAGAGTATAGTCACCAAAGAACCGTATAACTTTAGTCTTCAAGTTTTTTTTTTATTTCTAATAATTAATGAGATATCGCGCTTAGTGACTCACCCTGTATAGCTGATTTTTTTATGTCTTGGGATTATTTTCATTTTATGATCTAAAGCATAAACATACACACAAAAACTGATTTTCACTTGTTTTCTCCAAATAATAAAAAATGTATTAAATAAAAGAGTATAGAAAATTAATATCATATGATCGAAAAGAAGTCCTCTAGTAGGCTATGAATTTTATTTTTAAAATAATGATGTTGGCAACACTCCATTCCTTGCCACTAAATTTCATGGCCTACTAGGGGACTTTTTTCGATTATAAATATGTATAACGTATCAAGTGATTTTGAAAATAACGAAAACCACTTTTTTGTATTTTATCACGTAGTTCAAACTACATATGACTAAAAATACAATATCTAGAAACAATTAAGCCAAAATTTATGTCAAAAATTAACATAAAGAACCGATTTGAACAACGAATGCCAAACGACATAGAGCGATATTTCTGTCCTTTACTACATATTTTTAGTTTGTTTACGGCATCATTAATTTCTTGGGCCGCGACGTCGTATGTACATTTTTTTAACGAAATTGATATACGGGGTTTTTCAAATATTTACATTTACATAACCTAAAAATATCCTGTTTCAAAGACAAAAGTATTTATAATGATTTTAACAGATAATGAATAATCTCAGTTTATTTATTAACGCACAAAATATTCTAAAGAGATCATCATACACTTTTAACTTCACTTATACTGAAAATAAAAATACCGGCGTAAAAATTTAAAGTCCAGTTTCCCTTGAAACCTAAAAAAAGTTCCAAATAATGCGTTAAAATTAACACTATCCTTGGCACAATTTTTATTGGGGATTATTTTTACTTTTCGCGCCATTTTATAGTTTGTGGAGTACGAAAATGCAGGATTTCAATCGCCGTCTGGCCGTTAGCAATTGAATTTTTTAAAATTTATTAGTAAAAAAGTATTGTAAGCACTTGTTGAGTAACGAAGTGATGACTAATTTATTAGCAGTATTGATAACATTTGAAAAAATACGCTTTGGTCTGACCTTATCATAAAGGCACATTAGTTGCATAGCAACAAAATCTGAAACAAAATGATGTCATAAAATTTTAATCAGTTAATCATACATTTTACGATTTTAATACCAACTTTGAAAACAAAAATTCCTAGTTTTCTAGTATGTCAACCCACTGCTTAACTGATTTACTAGCAACTACAACTTTGTTTAAATTTTTTTAAGTTTCACTTTCCAAAGAAAAGCTACCAATTATGAAAGCGTTTTGACAGTTCCGTGTTCATCTACTTTTATAATAACTAAATGTAGGTCTGTGCAAAAAATCCAAGCTCAACTTTCATGCACTAATAGTTAACACAAATACCTATTTGTTTCTCAACATAGGCAGCTTCTTCTGGTGTTGCTCTTGGAATAATACCCGGATCAGAAAGGCTGGTGCGCAACAAGGAAGACATCGTAAATATAAATAACAAGCCACCAATGATCGGAATCGCTACTGTTACTTTTTCCGCCAAATAACTACAGCTAAAAATCGGTCACAATTACAAAAGGATACTTCCTGCAGAGGTCATCTTTACTCATATATAAAAAACAACGTGCACGTTCCCGTGATTAAAAACACCGTCAGCAAAAACACTCCTCCGTTCGGGGCCGTCATCAGCCTTCCATCACAATAAAATCTATTTCGTCCGGCAAAGACTTCCCACTTTTTCGTGACCCTGTCTCGGGCCATCTCTGACATCGAATCTGTTCCTGAAATGGGAAGTTATGTAAATTTGCAAATCCGCCGTTGACGCATACCTTCTGAATGAATCGCAGTCAAATCTACCAACTGATACTCCGAATCCAATGTCATAAATTTAATATTTAACCGAACGATACAAAATAAAATAAACCTACAAACTAAGAGGAATCCTGGCAGCTCTAACTCATTATTTCACGTGTAGTCTCGGTCATATTTACTACACAACACTTGCGACGACCTCGGCCTGAGTTCACCAAACATTTTAGAACATTACGAGCTTTTCTCTCACGGTTTACTTCGGAACAATTAGCGGAAAACGTAAAAAATCACTCTAATCTAATCTAAATTGTTAGACATCTTCTGACAGCTGAGAAAACATCAAGGCTGCTGCTAAAGTCCCGAACGCGCACTGGCCATACGTCCGCAATTAACGCGAATTTTCGAAGTAAATATTTAGAGAGGCAATTATTGCAACAAAACAGATGGTTTTCGAGCGACTGCGCTAAAATTAGAAGTCACGGGGGCTACTTCGGCTATTATTTTAATTATAATCGAATTACATAACGCCCGAGATCCATACGTTACGTCACGCATAATTATCCCATGGGAATGCTCACGAGACCGATTACGAGACATGCAACCCGAAACTATAAACGATTAATTATTCCTCCAGGTTTGTTCAACTTTTGATAATCACCAACACGAAAGAATGTCGGTGTTTAGAAAATATAAACATCCGTTGTGCGGTCTTTTTGATGTGTCCCACGCAACATCCATACTTTCGCAAGACCCGAGCAAAGTTGGTGTTGTGGGCAAGAAAACAGAAAAAACGCGCGTTTTAAGTCAAATTGTTGTTAAATGACTTAAAATGCATTAAATGTTGCTTATTATTTCATTGGAAAGTAACTTATTAATCCCTCTTAAACTGTAAGGGAAATTATAACAGTAGTAAGTAAACACCAATTTGAATTCCATTTCTATATCTGCACAGTTGTAGACCTACGATACTTTAAAAAATGTAACAGGATGAAAAATTCGTAAAAATGGACAAGTTTTTTTAAAATAAAATTGCAGGTTCCTGTAATAATAAAAGCACGTCATGTCATACATCAATCAACAAGTTACCAACATTGCACAATCAGTGTTGCCAAACTATGGTGTAGACATTTTTCGCAACAAATGAGACATTTTTAACATATATACCGTCCTAATTTATTCAAATATGCAAAAGTAACTCATTTAGGCACCAATTAACTCTCTTTCGCTTCGACAAAATCGCGCAACCATTGACCTTTTGTTACAAGAAGTGAAACCATGAAAACCTAACCTCACAATTTTCATACTTGTAGAAACATGGAGCAAAATGTAAACATTGCCGAAACGAAACCGCGCTATTCGCCTGAATTCAAGATGAAAGGTATTTCAACGATTTAGTTAACATTTGTTTGTTATTTTTATTGCAGCGGGTATTTTCCTGGCTGGCGTTTCTGGAGTATCTGCACTAATAGGTTTTGGGGCTACTTTAGCAGCTGCCAAAAGACAGGACCCGAAGTATTTTGGGCAAGGTATGGTCGGGTCGAGACAGATGGGGGAAACTGGGGCTGGTTTAGCGTTACGAGCGCTTGGTTGGGGCACTTTATATGCCTTCACCGGTTGCGGGATTTTATTTTACAGTATATGGAAACTGTCAGGAGCGCAGAATGTTAGTCTTGCCGCACCTAGTTTACCCATTTCATTGAAATGTTTTTAGTTTGAGGAATTCAGGTACAAAGTTGGCAGCATTTTGCCAAAAATACCTAGAAATAACCCGCCGCAAGGAAGGACCGAATTCAGTGGATTGAATGACCTGTTGGACTATCTTCAACATCAAAAAAGCGTAAAAGACGAATAAAACGTGTGTTAAACATAAAATATCTCGAGTGTACATATAAATAAACTTAAGGAAATACGACAGATTTCGAAATCGTCGGTTTTCCCCTTCTAAATTTATTGCGATCAGTTACGTGGGAGTCTATTGTGTTTTCAGAAAACTGCACTCTCTTTGTGCCATCATTTTCTTTGTTTTCTTCAATATTACTCTGTTCTGTGTTCTTCACTATAGACTTGATTGTGGGTTTGCTGCACTTTTCACAAACTGTGTGTTCTGGAGGCGCCTGTTCAACTGGACTCGATACTTCTATTTCTTTGATTTTCAATTTCAGCTCTTCTACTTCATGTTTCACGTGCAAATTTTCCAAAGTTAGTTGCCTAATTTTCCGATTTGCCTCCGCCAGTTCGTACGACAGGGAGGTGTAATTTATAGACCTTGCTGAAAATTTTTGTCTCCAGGTCTCAATCTCTGCACTAAAATAAAAAAAATTAGTTTGACTTTTGTAACAGTGGTTGCAATTTACTTTTTCGTTGCCAACATATTTTCAAAAAATTTTAATCCCTGCGCACTAATTTCGTCAGAGTTTGGTTGACCACTTAATTCTTTTTTGTAGCTATCAATTAATTCGTTCAATGTTTCTATTTGGAATCTGAAATGCATAGAATAATTAAAATGTTTAGATTTAAGAAGAAAAAGTACTTGTAGCTGTCAACTATTCTCTCTTCATCATATTTACGGTCATTCAGTTCACCATTCAGCTGCGCAATCAACGTGGAATTTTCGTGGCGTAAAGACGAGATTTGTTTTAGAAGACTGGCACGGTCGCGTTTCATGTCGATGTATTTGGATTTCATGGTGTTAATGTTTTGTTGGAGTTGGACGCGCCTGTAAATAAATATTTATTATAATAATCAGCTTTGTGTTTAATAGTGACAAAATTTACCTGTCATCAACTTCAGCAAACAATGAGTTTCCCTTGCTCCCTTGATCCAGTGGGCAACTTTTCACCGAGTCTAGTTCAGACTGGGCACAAGTCAATTCATCTCTCAGATTCTGATTCAGAGTTTTAGCTTCTTCTAACTCGTCTCTTTTGCACTTTAAAATTTCTGCATGATCCGCTAGTTCAGCTTCAAGTTGCTTTATCCTTTCCACTTGTACCAAGTTTTGTTGTTGACGATCTTTCAACACTTTTTCTAACTCCAGTAGTCGCTCTTGAAACTCAGCATTCTCATCATGTAGCTTAGTTATTTCATCAAGTGTCTTATCATGAACAGTCTGCACCTGTGATATTTTTACAAAATCTTCAAGATTTTTTTTCAAATCGGCTATTTCCTGCTCTTTATCCAACAACTCTTTCTCCAGGTCGCTTACACGTTCATTGTTGATGGTCCGTGTATTTTGATTCTCGTCTTCCAGTTGTTGAATTCTGGCTTTCAAAATCTGCTCCTGTTCGACTGCTTGACTTTGTACTAATTTAATTTCTTCCTGGTACTCAACTTCCAGACTTTGCGTTGTTTTCGCTTGTCGTCGGCAGTCGTATAAAGCTTGATTGGCCGATTCAAGCTCCACTTGTAATTGTTTATATTTCTCTAACAAATTGGCCTCTGACATTTTCACGTTTTTTGAAAAACCACAAGACACAAAAAGATAGCCGTTAGACAATTCAATTCGAAAATGACATATCAAATGTCATGCGCAATTAGTACCACACCAACAAAAACAAAAACCCCAACATTTTGACACATTTTATTATCATTTATAAGAATTCGCTTTATGTTTGGGTAAAAATTGAAAGTTTTCGGGGACCGGCCCCAAAAGCATTTCACTGATTTTAACCCAATCGGACGCCGCAGTTGAAGCCATCAAAGTTTCGAGATCGTCGCGACCTTTGTATGAAGGCGGTCTTTCGTTAATTTTCTGGGGCGGCTGCTCCAACAACCCCACTGGGACGTACCTGTGCAGGAATGACAACCACTCCAACATGAAACGTCTCGTGTTTTCCACGCCTTTGTTATCTGAACCCCAATGTTCCAACCCGTAATTGGCGTACTTCTTTAAAATATCAAAACGTTCGGAGCTACTGATGTCCCACAGTTTTTGTTCCTTGATTTCTGTGAACAGCCACGGCTTGATTAGGGCCCCCCGTCCTATCATGACTCCGGCTAATTCGGGACACTTTTCTCGCGCAGTTGTGTAGTCATTGTAGCTTAAAATGTCGCCGTTGCCTAGGACTGGAAGAGGCGTCGCTGCTTGAGCCACTTCTCGAATGTAGTCCCAATCAGCGACTTTCGTGTAACGTTGTTCGCGAGATCTGCCGTGAATTGTGATCAAGCTAACCCCCCAGTCTCGGAATTTTGGCGCCTAAAAAATTAGCGTAATTAACGAGAAAAGTCATAAGTGTTTAGTACCAAAATGTGTGCCAGCTTTTCATTATTGTACACCCCAGTTCTAGTTTTCACAGTCATGGGGATTGTCAAAATCTGACTAAGATTTTTGACACACGATTCTAAAACGCGCGAACGTCTCAGTAAGCCACAGCCCCCGCCTTCTTTGTACACTAGCTCAATGGGGCACCCCAAATTCAAATCAATAAAATCAATATCGGCCTCCTGTTGTAACAATTGACCACATCTTGTCAACAAATGTGGGTTATTGGCACACAACTGCACCCCAAATATGTCTTCAGTGTGGTGGCGCTTCACCAACGCCCACTCTTGAGGGGCTCCTTGAAGAAGCGACGAACACATGGCCATTTCACCACATGTCACATCAGCACCGAATTCTTTACAAATTCTTCTGAACGGTAAATTACCAACTGTGGTTAAAGGGCTCAAAACTAACTTGTTTTTCCAGTCAATTTGCTTCTTCTCTCTTTGGGTTAATTTAACTAAGTCTTCGTCGGTCACGGCGCCACTGGTTTTTGATTCTGTCTAAAAAAAAAAAAAAATCAACATTTTATTTTTTTAATTTGGAAACAATTATACCTCTTTTTTCTGTTTGTTGTTGTCATTAAACTTTATTAAATTCTCTGATAATTCAAAATTGTATGTGCGCTTTCTTAACGACACTTGCAAATCATGTGACAGGAAATTTTTAGTCTGAGGTTTTACAGTGACTTTTTCTGGATTAACCTGGTTGTGTCTGTCTTCAGTGATGTGGCTGCTGCCAAACCTGCACGCCAGGCCTCTGCCACACTCACCAAAAGTGTCATAGTTGTAGCAAACTTCCCCTACAAATTTTTGCATTAGTAAAATTATTAACCCCAAACACAAATTACCTATATCTTTCGGTTTTATTTTCAAGTACTCAGCCACGTCGTGCAAAAATTGGCAGTTCTTGCGTTCACACTTGGCAGCCTCGTCACCATTGATTAACGTATTGCACAGTTCCTGTTCACGGTTGCACCTAAAAGTGGGGCCCCTTGACTTATTTTGCCCTCGCAGCTTCTTCTTTTCACTTTTTGACAGCCTCTGTTTTTTCTCTGGAGGGGCGTCATCGCTCTGAGTCAGTGTGCGTTTATCTTTATCGGAAACACACTCTAATGCGACTTCGCGACAGTGCTCGGGCAGAACAAACCTGTGGAAACATTTTTAGGTTATGTCACATGGTGCAGTCGGGTGGTCTTACTCGGGCTTGATTTTGCAAATTCCGGCTTCGGACATGTCGGCGCTTACAAAAAGATAACGTATCAATGATTACTTGCGTTGTATCAAGTTAATAAATTATAAAAAATTGATTGATCGAATATTCGATAAATGACATAACTTGTTCAACTTTGCACCTAGTTAGGGGAAACGGTTGGTAGTTCTTGCTAGGTGACAATTCAAACTTTCTAATGAGAATATTAATTGAAAATTGCACGTTTAGTGCATAATTCGTGGTCGTTGCACCCGCTGTTTCCAGATACAATTATAAACACTTCGATTCCAGTATTTCTGGTGTGTAAATAGGTGAAAATAACCCATTTTTGTAGACGTTTTCTATTGGCAGCAGTGTGTGTCAAATTGTCACCACTTTGATGTGTAATCCGGTTGTCAGTTTCTATTTTACGTGCTAGTGTTTATTGGAGATTATGTTTATTTAATTGTTTTAAGCTTGATATAAGTAGACTCTGGTATGCCAACTATCAATTCAAGTTTCCCTTAAATCGTGGCCAAATCAAAGGACTAGCTGGCGATTGTTATTAATTTCAATAGGTGGCGCTACCTTACCAAGGGACGTCAATTTTTGGCATTTGTTACAATTTTAGGTTAACACCATTTGACACATTAAACTTAATACGTATAATAAATAAGTATTTATTCATTATTTATTTAAAAAATGTGTGTCAGTTTTGGAATAACGTTTCTGGGACACTGATTTTGCGTCAACATATTTTTTGTTTTTTTTTTCTGCCAGGTTGCGCAGTGCGCAGTCGTATTTAATGGTCGTCCATAAACTAATTGGTGTGTGCAGCGGTGCAGTTAGTGCGTAGTGCCTATTAACAATGAACGTAATCCGTAAAATAGTCAGGGGTCCTGAAATGAGATAACCTTCACCCATCCCTTCACCTTATCCAATTAGTTAAACAACAGGACCCAAAATGGAGTGTTTAGAAAGATCCCAAGTGGAATGTGAAATAAAAGTACATAAGGTGAGGGTACGTGATGCACATGTTTGGGCATGTATCCGTAAACCATCCAGAAACCATTTCAAATTGATCTGAATGTTTGCGTGCTCGGCTTGAATCGAAGAAGCCTCACACATTCCATGCAAAATTTTTTGGACGTTTTAAAAGTTCAAATGGACCCGGATGGAAAACTCGCAACCATCACCATGGCAGGATCAAGATTAAGGTGCAAAGAAGAGACTGTTATTTGAGTTTTAATATGGTAAGTTCCCAATATTAACGATAAATTGGATTTTATATTTGATTAGAATATACAGTAATAGTTTTTGAAAACTTATAAGTTAAATAATGCAACCAACTAGACCAGCCTTGACAATTTGGCCAGTTTCTTGGGTTTACTTGAATCAGCTGCCCTCTTTCGTGCTTCTCTTTGACATGAGAAGGTTAATCTCAACATGATAAATGAGAAAACTATTTTTTTCGTGATTTCAATTTTGTGTTCATCACAACCCACAAAACTGGTCAGTCCATGTTCACCAATTATTTGAATTACCTCAAGTAAGGTGTTTCGCTTTATTTCTTGATGAAGTGTTTTTGCAATTAGTGACTCAACTTCTTGTAGAAGAGTGATTAATTGATTAGAGGGAAATGTTAAATGACCCCTACTTCGAAGAATGATGAAGGTATTAAATTCTTCAATCCCATCCCCTACGATAGTTTCAACACAATTTGCACATTCTTCTAATTTATGCCTCCTAGCAATTGAACCACATACATAGGCAAATGCTTCTTCATTATCTCTGAAACTTACAGTAGTCCCAAAATTAATATCATTGTGCAATGCTTTGTCAAGTTCTAGGTCAAATTTTTCTTTAATTCTCATTGCTTTATCTTTATTGCAGTGTAGCGCTGATGTTTCACTTATGAGGGCCTCCAACATACTACCACCTGACACGTTGCTTCCTTTTGGGGGTTTAATTAAAGAATATAGTGACAACAGCCGAAAAATCTGTGCAATTTGTCCAGATTCAGGACTGCTATTGGCTCCCCCGCTAGCACGTAGCAACCCAAAAAAATGTTCGAGAGGATCCTGATTAATTCTGGTAGTCATTAGGTACTCAAATTTTAATTCGTTGGTGCAGTAGTCAAGCAAATTCAAAGTTGTGTTGATAGTGGCTTTGAGCCCTTCAGCTGTCGATTTCGTTAAAAAGTACTGAGGTTCAGAGCAAGATTCCCACAATTGTAAATAAATCAAGAAATCTTCTAAGGCCGCCTGTTGCTGAGAAGATTGCCTTAGGCCATTAAAACGATTACTTGAGTTTAAAATATCAGACAACTCATTAAGGCGTCTACAAAATTGGATTGTTGGCTGGCAGTTGACAAATTGTGGTACCTGTTTGTCTTTTAACGCCGTTAGGGCATCTGCAACAGTACCGCTAAATAATTGAAAGGCATATTTAGTGGTCATCTTTTCGTGCTGTTCTGGATGTACATGTTTCCGTGTCAATTTGTAGGCGTATTTAAAATGGTTCTTGGCATCATATTCCAACAAATTCTCAAAATCGGCCAATCGAACACGCCCTTCAGGAACATGGAATTCTTTTTGGGCCACGAGACGATTACGTATGCATTTTAACAAATGCGGAAAATCAGAACACATTCTCAATTTTCTGTTGTTGTTACAGGGATGGATGCACCATGGAGCTTCTGGATTCCCAGCATTAAATGATTTCCACATGGCCCTATTCCATGTAGCACCATCAGCAGTGACTACATCAACGTACAGCCCAGCTGCTTCACAGAGTGTCACCGCTTCCAGAACAAGTTTTGCTTGAATTGTCCCTAACACACTGCCTCTGGACAGAAAACATCCAACTGCTTGTACATGCTTTCCTGCAAATGATTGGAACATGATTACAAGGGCATGGTCACCAAGTTGATCTTTTTGAGGTTCCGGTGTATAGTCCCCTAGGTCTACAAATCCCATCACTTCCAACCGATTCTTATCAAAATATTTGCAAGGGGTAATTTTGCACTCATCCACCATTAACGTCCCATGACATTCCCGCTCAGGAATATTTTTTGTTTTTTCCTTCAAGGCTTTGAATAACTGCGTTTGAAACCCATAGGAACTGTCAATATTCCTGATATAGTTTGACAATGTACTGGGCGACGGTAAAGGCAATAATTCCCTGCTTCTTAAATGCCTGTAAAGTTTAGGGCTTTTAATTTTTATCAGAAGGCAAGTATAAATCCAGTCCTTGGTATATCGTTTTCCTCTAGGAGCTTTTCCTGCAGTCTCAAAGCAAGTTTTTACTGCCAGTTTCTGGTTTTCAGGTAACCTCGCAATAATGCCATCGATGTTTGGAACAGTTCCCATGGCCGATTTTAATTTGGCACATTTTTGTAGATCCCTAATCTTCTGACTTTGTTTAACTTGCTTTGTCAACAAGTACGAATATCGTTTTCGTTTACGCTCCTGTTTTACAATCGGCTGTGTCGCTTTTTTCGGGTTTTTACAATTTTTTTTTCGGATTAAAGCACATGCCCTACATCTCTCTGACTTCATTTGGGTGTTTTCGCCAGTGCAAAAAGGACTAATTTTGCCGTCAACACCTGAACCATTGCATACTTTTATGGAATGTACCGTTTTAATTAGTGTCACTAATTCTTCCAAGGTACCAGGGAGAAAATCAGGAGCGCGACAAATATTTTTGATCATCAGTTTAATGTCTCCTTTACTGTCAATAATGATGGTTTTATCTATTGCAGGGATTGTGCCAGAAATATGACATATTGTGATTTTAGAAATCCCTGCATGAATTCCCCACTCTATAGGAAGCAACCCAACTAGTTGGTGCAAATTTTCTCTCAAAACCTCATATAGTGTTGAAATGGAGGATGAGGGGAGGTTTGTTTCTATTTGTGTAGGACTTTCAGATGGTTCAGAGGCAGGGATGTAGGTATGTGAACCTTGAGATCTAAAACAGATTGTACCTAGTTAGTTTCAACAGTCTTTTGGTTACTTTTACACTTGTACGAATTAAATTTTATACTGGAATGCATTGTTTTTAAGCACTATAAACAGGAGAAAACAGACCTTGATTTAAGATAACATTTTAACGGACGGACAGGAACTACAGGAGGAGACGGGGATTTACTACTGGTTCCTAAGTTTTGATATGGAATGGCATCTGCCGTCAGAGTTCGTCTAATTTTGCCATTGTTCACAAATTCACGTATGAAATGTTTCGCAAAATGTCTCATGCAAACATGGTCATTTTTTGACAAAATTGTGCCCAAAGCCTCATTCCATGTTTGCAGTTTGTGTGTATCCTGTAAATCAAGTTTAAAAATATAACGTGTAAGGAAAAAATACCGGATTGTTTTATTTTTAGGAGTATTTCTGTAAAATGTTTTACCGTTGGAACTTGGAACAAGGATAAATCGGTATTGGAAACTTTGACGAAGCCGCATAACGCACACTTCTTCATGTTGTTTTTGGTAAACTTTAAATTCGCCTAGATCAGTGATCAATCTGATTTTGACGCGGTTTGGCAATCTGACATTAGGTAGTATTAGAAGCGTCTGCGTTTTATTAACGTTTTCTGCATCCCTATTACGATCCCGCCAAAATTGTTGTGACATTCGTGACAGCAGTTTGACGTCGATTTTGACGTACCTACACATGGTGCTGCCATCTAGCAATTTTTGTTCAAACTGTCAACTAGACCTTCGTTTTGGAAAACAAAATGGCGGTGAGTTGGTATACCAGTCTATTTATATCACGGTTTTAAGTTACGAAACGATAATTAAAACCGGGAAAGTTCCTTGAGTCCGCCAAATTGTCGACATAATGTTTGTTAGTGTTGTCTAGATCGTTATTAATAATTTAAAATATGGTAAAGTTATACTGCATCAGTGTTCTTTACAAAGGACCAACGAGCGCGACATGGTTGAAATCGGCCTTTGATCTGCAAAGTTTCAGTTTTTTCCAGCGGGGTTCAGTGGAAGAGTTTATGACGTTTTTTTGTAAAACCATAGTAGAGAGAACAATTCCAGCGTCTCGACAGTCGGTGAAGGAAGGAGGTTAAATGGTCACCTTGATTTTTATGTGTGTTTAATCGGGTTTTTTAGAGTATATGTGTCATGTTTATGTTAGGGCGGATAACTTAGCCGGAGTGGTGATCTCAGACCACGAGTATCCAACCAGGGTTTCACATACACTAATCACCAAAATCTTAGATGAATTTAGTCAGAAAATTCCAGCCGCAAACTGGCCCAACTTAGCAGAGCGGGACGTAGCTTTTCCACAATTAAACGGTTACTTAGCTAAATACCAAAATCCGAGAGAGGCGGACGCTATGACCAAAATACAGGAGGACCTTGATGAAACGAAGATAATTTTAGTAAGTCACTTGTGTTTGTTTGTTTTTCTTTCACTGTAATGAACGATTGTAGCACAATGCCATTGAAAGTGTTCTTCAAAGAGGCGAGAAGCTCGACGACCTGGTGTCAAAATCCGAAGGCTTGAGCATGCAGTCAAAGGCATTCTATAAAACTGCCCGGAAAACGAACAGCTGTTGCACTTTCAGTTAAACTCGCATTCCTTATTTAGCCCAATGTTCATATAAAAAATTAACCTCTTCAAAAGTTTGGATGTTCATATATTAATCGCTGTATGTTGGATGTATGTTATATTTATGACAATAAATGTAAAATATATACAAGGAATAAACATGTTAAGATGCAATTTTATATGAAAGCAATTTTTATTAACCTTCAAAAATAATGAAAATACAACATTATAAAACGCAGTTATGCCGGGGGGTTATCAAAATAATCGACCGTCTCTCCGGGAGGTGTGCTCGGCCTCGGTACTCTCCCCGGCAACTTCAGCGCGACGCTCTCCGACTTCCCCACCAAGCCCTTGGCCAGAACCGGCCCCGGCACTTTTCTCTGCCCGTTCTCCCGCTGGATGAACTCGAGAAGGCTCATGCTCGGCAGCCACGACTTATCCTTGAACGCCGTCGCGACGATGTTGCGGTTGGGCTCCATGTCGTAGGCGGCGCTCTCGCAGCCAAAGTGTTCGCAATACTCGTGCACAAAGTGCCTCTTATCCCTATTCATCGACTCGAACGAATACGACCTGCTCTTCTGCTTGCTCTGCTTGGCCAGCTGCACCAGCTCGGTCAGCTTATCGTGGATTTTCTGGCAGAACTGCGCGTCTTTCTTCGCCCAGCCGCGCATGAAGTCCGAGTAACGCGGAGTCAGCTTCTGGCTCAGGTCGGGGTTGCGGATCTGGAGCCCGATGGCGAGACGGCGGTTGCGCTCTAACACGCGGCACTCTTCGGTGCACTCCAAACTAAAACAAGACAGCGAAAAATGAAGACGCCAATTTAAATTAAAAAAAAAAAATGTGCTTACATTTTCAAAACCGACGGCCGCTTCGGCTTGTTCACGATGTCGCTGATATCCACCACCTGATCTTTCATCATGTCGGCCATTTTATCTTTCAAATTCGCCATCTCCATCTCCTTGTATTCGTCGGTCAAGTCGATGCAGGACTTGCTGCCTTTTTGCAGCCCGCACGGACACGTCACGGGCACGCTCTGCTTGCATGAGGTCTCTGGGCACGGGGGCTGGTGGCATGGGGCCCCGCAGGGGTGGCCGCACTGGGACCTCCTCACTTGGCACTTCTGCTTGCAGGGTTGGGAACACGGCCCCAAGTGACACGGTTTGTCGCACTTGTGAGCGCCACAGGGCATCGGCTTGCCGCACGGTAATCCGCAGCTGAAGTCCTCCTGGTAGCAGGGGATGGCGGATCGCTGCTCGTGCTTGCCGTGGCACCAGCGCTTGCATAGCACCTGCAATAGCAAAAATGCCCAAAATTATATTTATTACCTTTTTTGACTAAAAATGCGATAAATTTTGATAATTCAATGTTTTCTTTTTGTAAAACAAAAAAGAATGAATATATCATGTCAAAAACGTCAAAAAGGCGAAATGTGTCAACGTCAAAAAGACAAAAACACTAAAATCTTAAAAATACACTGAACCACTGAAATTAAAACGTTAAAATTGTCACAAAGGTAGAAAAAAAAATGCACATTCATCTGGCGTCTCCACCATTTTTGCAAAATATTGAAGTTGCTCAAATTACATCCGTCAAAATATCAGAGGTGTCAAAAATTCGACATGATTGGAATGTCAAAGACAAAAACGTTAAGATTGCTACATATTCAAAAATGTCAGTCAATTACGCCAAACAAGTGAAAGGCGTCAACAACATCAAAAAGATAAAAACACTAAAATTTTAAGAATACAAAGTGGAACAGGAAATTAAAATTATGAAATTAAAACATTGTAAAAAATCTTAAAGAAGTCAGCGTCGTTAAAATTCACCCAACAACCAAAAATGGGGGGAAATATGTCAAAAGCAGTGAAAAATCTTCAATATCGGACACCTAAAAAACACCAGGGAACCCCAAGAAAAAATTAACACTTGGAGCCAACGAGATTCTTTCAGCTTCCCAAAAAAAAAAATACTAAGGGACTTGGGAACTTTCATATGTTATGGAAAAAATACTAGGGAACATTAAGATTCTTGAGCATTTTAGAGAAAAATAACACTAGGAACCCCAGAGATTCTTTTGCCTTTTAGAATAACATAACAATTGTGGCCCCAGAGATCTTTTCAGTTACTTAAAAAAATAACACTAAAGGCCTCCGAGATACGTTCAACTTCTCAAAAAAAAACCCTAGGACATCCGGAGATTCTTTCGCCTTTTACATAAAAATAACACTTGGAGCCCCCGACACTTTTACAGTTTCACCAAAAAAGAAAATACTTGTGGACTCCGGAATTAATCGCATTTTAGAAAAAATAACACTTGGAGTCCTTGAGATTAAAAAAAATACTAGGAGACATCAAAATTCTTTCGCCTTTTGGAAAAAATAACACTTGGAGCACCCGACATTTTTACAGCTTCCCCCCCAAAAAAAAAAATACTTGTGGACTAATTCGCATTTTAGAAAAAATAACACTTGGAGTCTATGAGATTTTTTTCAAAAAAATATTAGGCGATATCGAAATTCTTTCGCCTTTTGGAAAAAATAACATTTGGAGCCTCCGAAATTTTTACAGCTTCCAAAAAAAAAATAACACTTGGTCCCCGAAATTTTTTCAAAAAAATATTAGGCGACATGGAAATTCTGTTGCCTTTTGGAAAAAATAACACTTGGAGTCCCCGAGATTTTTTCAAAAAAATATTAGGGGACATCGAAATTCTTTCGCCTTTTAAAAAAAATAACACTTAGATTATTATTATTATTATTATTATGTTAGGCGATCGGGCAGAGGTCTACGCCTGTTATGCCCGCGCCGTCGTGTTAGTGGGAAGTACCCAATATTTCTATTGGGAGCTGTAAATGTCATATTTAATTTTAAAAGCCATTGTTGATTGTGAACTGACTATTTCTTCCGGCAAAGAATTCCATTGCTGAAAAACTCTATTACTCAAGAAGTGCTGCCTTACCGTAGTCTTAAACTTTTCTTTAGCCAATTTAAAAGAATGTCCTCTAGTAAGAGTATGTGCACTAAGTATGAAGAGCTTGTGTATCGGAGACGACTTATTGGACATGGCTTGAAATGTCGTGATAAGATCACCTCTTACGCGTCTATTTGATAAAGTTAGAATTTTCATTATTGCGAGTCTTTCATGGTATTGAGGCCGTACTCTACCAAACGGTATTCTTGTAGCCCTACGTTGGACAGATTCAAGCAAAAGGATGTCTTTCTGTAAAATAGGCGACCATACACTGTTCGCAAATTCTAGTAAGGGTCTTACAAATGTTTTATATAATTTGGCAAAGACAATAGGACTACTTTTTTGGATTCCCCGACATTTTTACAGCTTCCCTAAAAAAATACTTGTGGACTACAGAATTAACTCGCATTTTGGAAAAAATATCACTTGGAGTCCCCGAGATTTTTTTCAAAAAAATATTAGGCGACATGGAAATTCTGTTGCCTTTTGGAAAAAATAACACTTGGAGTCCCCGAAATTTTTCCAAAAAAATATTAGGCGATATCGAAATTCTTTCGTCTTTTGAAAAAATAACATTTGGGGCCTCCGAAATTTTTATAGCTTCTCAAAAAAAATAACACTGGAGTCCCCGAAATTTTTTCAAAAAAATATTAGGGGACATCGAAATTCTGTCGCCTTTTGGAAAAAAAAATAACATTTGGAGCCTCCGAAATTTTTAGTTTCCCAAAAAAAAAACTTGTGGACTCCGGAATTAATTCGCATTTTAGAAAAAATAACACTTGGAGCCCCCGACATTTTTACAGCTGCCCAAAAAAATACTTGTGGACTCCAGAATTAACTCGCATTTTAGAAAAAATAACACTTGGAGTCCCCGAGATTTTTTTCAAAAAAATATTAGGCGATATCGAAATGCTTTCGCCTTTTGGAAAAATAACATTTGGAGCCTCCGAAATTTTTACATCTTCTCAAAAAAAAATATAACACTTGGAGTCCCCGAAATTTTTTCAAAAAAATATTAGGCGATATCGAAATTCTTTTGCCTTTTGAAAAAAATAACACTTGGAGTCCCAGCGATTTTTTTTGAAAAAAATATTAGGGGACATCGAAATTCTTTCGCCTTTTGGAAAAAATAACATTTGGCGCCTCCGAAATTTTTAGTTTCCCAAAAAAAAAAAAAATACTTGTGGACTCCGGAATTAATTCGCATTTTAGAAAAAATAACACTTGGAGCCCCCGACATTTTTACAGCTTCAAAAAAAAATACTTGTGTACTCCAGAATTAACTAGCATTTTAGAAAAAATAATACATGGAGTCCCCGAGATTGTTTCAAAAAAATCTTAGAGGACATCGAAATTCTTTCGCCTTTTGGAAAAAATAACATTTGGAGTCCCTGAGATTTTTTTCAAAAAATACTAGGCGATATCGAAATTCTTTCGCCTTTTGGAAAAAATAATATTTGGAGTCCCTGAGATTTTTTCAAAAAATATTAGGCGATATCGAAATTCTTTCGCCTTTTGGAAAAATAACATTTGGAGCCTCCGACATTTTTACAGCTGCCCAAAAAAAATACTTGTGGACTCCGGAATTAATTCGCATTTTAGTAAAAATAACACTTGGAGCCCCAGACATTTTTACAGCTTCCCAAAAAAAAAATACTTGTGAACTCCAGAATTAACTCGCATTTAAAAAAAAATAACACTTGGAGTCCCTGAGATTTTTTTCAAAAAAATATTAGGCGATATCGAAATTCTTTCGCCTTTTGGAAAAACAACACTTGGAGCCCCCGACATTTTTACAGCTGCCCAAAAAAATACTTGTGGACTCCAGAATTAACTCGCATTTTAGAAAAAATAACACTTGGAGTCCCCGAGATTTTTTTCAAAAAAATATTAGGCGATATCGAAATGCTTTCGCCTTTTGGAAAAATAACATTTGGAGCCTCCGAAATTTTTACATCTTCTCAAAAAAAAATATAACACTTGGAGTCCCCGAAATTTTTTCAAAAAAATATTAGGCGATATCGAAATTCTTTTGCCTTTTGAAAAAAATAACACTTGGAGTCCGAGCGATTTTTTTTGAAAAAAATATTAGGGGACATCGAAATTCTTTCGCCTTTTGGAAAAAATAACATTTGGCGCCTCCGAAATTTTTAGTTTCCCAAAAAAAAAAAAATACTTGTGGACTCCGGAATTAATTCGCATTTTAGAAAAAATAACACTTGGAGCCCCCGACATTTTTACAGCTTCAAAAAAAAATACTTGTGTACTCCAGAATTAACTAGCATTTTAGAAAAAATAATACATGGAGTCCCCGAGATTGTTTCAAAAAAATCTTAGAGGACATCGAAATTCTTTCGCCTTTTGGAAAAAATAACATTTGGAGTCCCTGAGATTTTTTCAAAAAATATTAGGCGATATCGAAATTCTTTCGCCTTTTGGAAAAATAACATTTGGAGCCTCCGACATTTTTACAGCTGCCCAAAAAAAATACTTGTGGACTCCGGAATTAATTCGCATTTTAGTAAAAATAACACTTGGAGCCCCAGACATTTTTACAGCTTCCCAAAAAAAAAATACTTGTGAACTCCAGAATTAACTCGCATTTAAAAAAAAATAACACTTGGAGTCCCTGAGATTTTTTTCAAAAAAATATTAGGCGATATCGAAATTCTTTCGCCTTTTGGAAAAACAACATTTGGAGCCTCCGAAATTTTTACAGCTTCTCAAAAAAAAATAACACTTGGAGTTCCCGAAATTTTTTCAAAAAAATATTAGGGGACATCGAAATTCATTCGTCTTTTGGAAAAAATAACATTTGGAGCCTCCGAAATTTTTAGTTTCCCAAAAAAAAAAAAAAAATACTTGTGGACTCCGGAATTAATTCGCATTTTAGAAAGAATAACACTTGGAGCCCCCGACATTTTTACAGCTTCAAAAAAAAAAAAAATACTTGGGAACTCCAGAATTAACTCGCATTTTAGAAAAAATAACACTTGGGGTTCTTGAGATTAAAAAAAAAATACTAGAGGACATCAAAATTCTTTCGCCTATTGGAAAAAATAACACTTGGAGCCTCCGACATTTTTACAGCTTCCCCCCCCCCCCAACAAAAAACGAAATACTTGTGGACTCCGGAATTCATCGCATTTTAGAAAAAATAACACTTGGAGTCCCTGAGATTTTTTTCAAAAAAATATTAGGCGATATCGAAAGTCTTTCGCCTTTTGGAAAAACAACATTTGGAGCCTCCGAAATTTTTACAGCTTCTCAAAAAAAAATAACACTTGGAGTTCCCGAAATTTTTTCAAAAAAATATTAGGGGACATCGAAATTCTTTCGTCTTTTGGAAAAAATAACATTTGGAGCCTCCGAAATTTTTAGTTTCCCAAAAAAAAAATACTTGTGGACTCCGGAATTAATTCGCATTTTAGAAAAAGTAACACTTGAGAGTCCCCGACATTTTTACAGCTTCCAAAAAAAATACTTGTGGACTCCGGAATTAATTCGCATTTTAGAAAAAATAACACTTGGAGTCCCGGAGATTTTTTCAAAAAAATTTTAGAGGAAAATGAAATTCTTTCGCCTTTTTACAGTTTCCCAAGAAAAAAAATACTTGTGGACTCCGGAATTAATTCGCATTTTAGAAAAAATAACACTTGGAGCCCCCGACATTTTTCCAGCATCCCAAAAAAAATAACACTTGGAGTCCCCGAAATTTTTTCAAAAAAATATAAGACGATATCGAAATTCTTTTGCCTTTTGGAAAAAATAACACTTGAAGTCCCCGCGTTTTTTATATGAAAAAAATATTAGGGGACATCGAAATTCTTTCGCCTTTTGGAAAAAATAACATTTGGAGCCTCCGAAATTTTTAGCCCCCCCCCCCCCCCCCCAAATACTTGTGAACTCCAGAATTAACTCGCATTTTAGAAGATTTTGACTTACAGAAATTCTTTCAGCTTCATTTCTTCGAAAATTACATCAATTTTTCCAGAAGCGACAAAATGGAAAAATACAATTTTCAAAAATTGATTTTCAAGCCAAATTTCCGAAAGTTTTGGTCTAGGACCATCAACAAGTTAGTTTTTTGGATTAGCTAGCTCGTCAAAATATATTTACCATATTTTTTTTTAAAACAGTGAAATAACAACGATGTCGGAAACATCAAACCATTAACTTCCACCAGATCCGTCAAAACCAGAAAAAATGTCAAAAAATGCCAACATTAAAAATGTGCAACGTCAGAAAGATAAAAACACTATTCTTAAGAATATACAGAATACAAAATGTCGTTAAAAGTCAAGTCAAAGTCCAAAAGTGGGAAAATATGTCAAAACAAACTAAACATGGACGATTAGTTGCCTATTAGTAAAAACATAAAAAAGTCAAAATGTCAAGAGTATTAACAGAATGATAAAATACGATTTAAACGTCAAAAAGATGTTAAAAATGTTGAGAATATGGAAAACGTACATATAAAAAAAAAACGCCAACATAAAAAAATGCAGAACGTCAAAAATATTAAAAAAAAATTAAACGTGAGTAATTTCGAAAATTTGACACATAAAACGACCAATCATATACATACCGTGCACGGTGGACACGCCCCAGTGTGGCATGCGTGGTTGGCCTCGTGGCCGCATGGGCGGGGCCTGGAGCACGGTTTATCGCAAGGAGGCGGTCTAGTCCCGCACGGAATGGGCGGGTACAGCACATTGGCCCCGCACTCGCAGTACAGCTCCTCGAAGCTTGTCTCCATACAGGCGAGACAGCGGCCGCTGTGGCAAGTGCGGTCGCAGCGGTGTTGGCCGCACGAAAGAAGATGGTTACATGGGAGGGGGCAAATGTGCTCCACCTCAATGCAACAGCGCTGGTTGCAACGATGCTTGCCACACAAACGCTTCTTAGTGCACTTCTTCTCGCAGCGGGCGTCGTCCGCTTTCGTGGTCACCTGCTCGCAGGGAATTTCGCGGTCCATGTGGCCACATCGGCACCGAATCAAAGTACTGAGGGAACAAGAAGGGCAAGGACCCTCATGACAGCGCTGCTTGCAACTATGAGGGGCAGCCGGCTGGCCGCACTTCAAAGTTTTCGCACAAATCTGAAAAAATCGGTGAAAACATTGAAAATTTCAACAAACATTGACTCACTTTATCACAGCAAGGTATAGGATCTAAACACGACTTCCGCACGCTCTTCAGCTCTGTCCGCCCGCAGGGACACGTCGTGATGCTGTCGACATCCCTCTCGCAGCCCTCGCACTCCCCCTCGTGACAGATCCTGTCGCAGCTGTGATTGCCGCAGCCTAGCACCTTCCCGCAGACGTCCTCGCACGAGTAACTCGTGGCCCCCTCGAACTCCTTCGTGCACTTCACCTTCCGGCCGACCTTGCCGCAGTGGCACACCTGGTGGAGCGTGCGCTCGCAGGGCAAACAGCCCCCCGAGTGGCACCGCTCGTTGCAGGTGTGCAAGCCGCACTCCAAGCGCTTGCCGCAGGTGCCGCTGCACACGATCTCGGTGTCGGAGCTGCACTTGACGGTCTGCGAGGTGGCGCCGCAGCCGCAGGGCTTGGCCACCATGACATGGCAGTCGGGGCAGGGGCCCGGGTGGCACAGGATGGTGCACTTGTGGTCGCACTGGCGGCGGTTCTTCTCGCATAGCTCGCCGCAGGCGTGCGGGACGACCCCCGGGAGGGGGCGCGGCTCCTGGGTCTTGCCGCAGTAGCAGGTGTACTGCTTGGGGATGTCGGTGCAGACGTGCTGGCAGGCGGGGCACCGCCAGCCGTTCTCGACCTTGGAGGAGTTGGCCCAGGCGATGGTGCAGTTGAGGTGGAGGATGTGGTAGCACTGCTCGCACGTCCAGATCTTGTCGGTGTGCTTGATTTTTTCGCAGCAGACGAGGCACTCGAGCATGCGGCGGGATAACATTTGCTCGAGGCGCTCGCGCTGGGAGGCGGCGTCCACTGGAATAACAATGATAATCATTTTGTTAAAGAAAATTATGTTGGCAACACTTTGTTCAGTTTGATAACTACGGTGAAATAACTGTCAAAGAAAGTGTCAAATCAATAGCTGTAATGCCAACATAATTATTTTAAAAATAAATTTCATAGCCATACTGGGCAACTTTTTGATTAATTTAAATTTTTCGATTTTTATTTTCATGATTTAAAATTTTTCGACCTGCAATTTTTTAATTTTTAAATGTTTTAATTTTTTTTTCATTTCTCAACGCTGCAATGTTTTGTGTCTTAAATTTTAATTTTCGATTTTTCAGTTTTTTTTTTTTAAATATGTATTAGATTTTTTAATTTTTCAATTTCTCCATATTTCATTATTTTAATTTTTAGGTTTTTTATTTTTGTTTATTCAATTTCTGGGTGGTTCGACTTTTCAGTTTTTCAATTTTGGAGTTTTAATTTCTCACTGCAAAAATTTTTAGATTTTTCAATTTCTAGATATTTTAATTTTTCGTTGTGTTCCATTTTGAGATTTTTCGTCTGTTTTTAATTTAAAAAATTTTCAATTTTTCGAATTCTTAAACTTTTCGATGTTTCATTGTTGCAATATTTTTCTTTTTTCGATTTTTAAAATTTTTCGTTGTTTTCAATTTTGCGATGTTTCATCTTTCAATTTTTTATTTTTCGGTTTTTCAATTTTTCAATGTTTCGATTTCTAGAATTTCAAGTTTTAAACATGAATATTTCATTGAAGCAATTTTTCAATTTTCCCGATTTTTGAATTATTTTTCGATTTTTACTTTCTCAAATTTAAATGTTTAAATTTTTCAATTTAAACATTTTTTTTTTTATTTGTTCCGATTTATATCTATTTTTCGATTTTTCAACTTCTCGTAGTTTAAGTTGTTGCCATTTTTCAATTTTTGGATTTTTCCGATTTTTAAATTATTTTTCGATGTTTCGTTGTGGCAATTTTTCAATGCTTCGACTTTCGATTTCAAGGATTTCAAGTCTTAAACTTATCCATATTTCATTGTTGCAATTTTTAAATTTTTCCGATTTTTTAATTATTTTTCGATTTTTACTATCTCAAATTCAAATGTTTCTATTTCTGAATTTTTAGAGATTTTAATTTTTTCGTTATTATTCAATTTTGCGATTTTTTATCTCTAAAATTTTTAATGTTTCGATTTTTCAATTTTTCGATTATGTTCGTTGTGTTCAAGTTTGCGATTTTTCGTTTCAGTTTTGTTGTTTCATTGTTGCAATTTTTTACTTTTGAACGTTTCATTTTTTGAATTTTTTTACACTTTTGAGCTATTTTTGAATTTCAATTTTTAGTTCTTTTAATTTTTCGTTCTCAATTTTTAATTTTTCGGTTTTTCAATTTTTCAGTGTTTCGATTTCTAGAATTTCAAGTTTTAAACTTATCAATATTTCATTGTTGCAAATTTCCAAGTTTTCCGATTTTTAACTATTTTTCGATTTTTCAACTTCTCGAACTTTAATTCTTAAACTTTGCGATGTTTCATTGTTGCTATTTTTCAATATTTGAATATTTTAATTTTTCATTGTTTTAAATTTTTCCATTTTTAGATTTTTCAACAAATAGATTTTTACATTTTTCGATTTTTCTGATTTTTGAATTATTTTTCGATGTTTCCTGTCTCAAATTAAAATGTTACTATTTTTGAATTTTTAGATTTTAATTTTTTCGTTGTTATTCAATTTTGCGAATTCTTAGATTTTTCAGATGTATTAGATTTTTAATTTTTCAGTTTTCGATATTCCTGTGTTAAAATTTTTAGGATTTTCATTTTTAATTATTCAACTTCTGTGTTTCGAATTTTCAACTTTTCAATTATTGAAGTTTTTAGTTTTCGATTTTTTCTAATTTTATTTTGTCGATTTAATATTTTTCGATTCTTCAATTACATATTAATATTTTAATTTTTCGTTGTTTTCAATTTCTCGAAATTTTAAACTTTTAGATCTCTCGTTGTTGCAATTTTTTAAAATTTCATTTTTTTTTATTTTTTCCGATTTTCAACTATTTTTTGATTTTTCAATTTTAAGTTACATATTTTAATTTTGAGCGATTTTTCGTGTCTCAGTTTTTAATTTTTCGGTTATCCAATTTTTTCACTGTTCCGATTTTCAATTTTTGGATTTCTTCAATTTTCGAATATTTTAGTTTTTCGTTGTTTTCAATTTTTCTGATTTTTGAATTATTTTTCGATGTTTACTGTCTCAAATTCAAATGTTACTATTTTTGAATTTTTAGAGATTTTAATTTTTTCGTTCTTTCAATTTTTAGATTTTACAATTCTTTGATTTTTCGGATGTATTAGATTTTTTAATTTTTCAGTTCGATATTTCTATGTTAAAATTTTCAGGTTTTTCATTTTTAATTATTCAACTTCTTTGTGTTTCGAATTTTCAATTTTTCGATTATTCAAGTTATTTAAGTTTTTGTTTTTCGATATTTTCTAATTTTATTTTGCCGATTTAATATTTTTCGATTTTTCAATTTTAAGTTATTTAATTTTTACGATTTTTCGTGTCAGTTTTTAATTTTTCGGTTATTCAATTTTTCACTGTTTGAATTTTCAATTTCTCGAATTTCAATTCTTAAACTTCTCGATGTTTCATTGTTGCGATTCTTCAATTTTTTGATTTTTCCGATTTTTGAATTATTTTTCAATTTTTACTTTCTGGAATTCAAATGTTTCGATTTTTGGATATTTTAATTTTTCGTTATTTTCAATTTTGCGATTTTCCGTCTCCTAATTTTTAAATTTTTCAATAAATAGATTTTTACATTTTTCAATGTTTCGATTTTCTATTTCTCGAATTTCAATTATTGAACTTTTCGACGTTTCGTTATGGCAATTTTTCAAAGTTTTGATTTTCGATTTCTAGAATTTCAAGTCTTAAACTTATCAATATTTCATTGCTGCAATTTTTCAAAATTTCTTTTTTTTTAATTTTTCCGATTTTCAACTTTTTTGATTTTTCAATTTTAAGTTATTTTATTTTTGCAATTTTTCGTCTTAGTTTTTAATTTTTCGGTTATTCAATTTTTCACTGTTTCGGTTTTCAATTTCTCGAATTTCAATTCTTAAACTTTTCAATGTTTCATTGTTGCGATTCTTCAATTTTTGGATTTTTCCAGTTTTTGAATTATTTTTCAATTTTTACTTTCTGGAATTCAAATGTTTCGATTTTTGGATATTTTAATTTTTCGTTATTTTCAATTTTGCGATTTTCCGTCTCCTAATTTTTAAATTTTTCAATAAATAGTTTACATTTTTCAATGTTTCGATTTTCTATTTCTCGAATTTCAATTATTGAACTTTTCGATGTTTCGTTATGGCAATTTTTCAAAGTTTCGATTTTCGATTTCTAGAATTTCAACTCTTAAACTTATCAATATTTCAATGTTGCAATTTTTCAATTTTTCGCTTTTAAAAAAATTTTTTTTTTAATTTTTCCGATTTTCAACTATTTTTAGATTTTTCAATTTTAAGTAATTTTATTTTTGCGATTTTTCGTGTCTCAGTTTTTAATTTTTCGGTTATTCAATGTTTCATTGTTTGGATTTTCAATTTCTCGAATTTCAATTCTTAAGCTTTTCGTTGTTTTATTGTTACTATTCTTGAATTTTTGGATTTTTCCGATTTTTGAATTATTTTTCGTTTTTTACTTTCTAGAATTCAAATGTTTCAATTTTTCAATTTTTATAAATTTAATTTTTTTTATTTTTTCCGATTTTTAACTATTTTTCGATGTTTCAACTTCTGGAATTTCAATTCTTAAACTTCTCCATTTTCATTGTGCTATATTTCAATTTTTGAATTTTTCTGACTTTCAAATTATTTTTCTATTTTAACTTTCTAGAATTCAAATGTTCCGATTTTTCAATTTTTAAAAATTTTATTTTTTTATTTTTTCCGATTTTTAACCATTTTTCAATGTTTTAACTTCTGGAATTTCAATTCTTAAACTTTTCGATGTTTCATTGTGCCATTTTTCAATTTTTGAATTTTTCTGACTTTCAAATTATTTTTCAATTTTCACTTTCGGGAATTCAAATGTTTCAATTTTTCAATTTTTGGATATTTTAATTTTTCGATTTTCAAATTCTCGAATTTTAATTCTTGAACTTTTCGATGTTTCGTTGTTGCCATTTTTCAATTTTTCGATTTTTACTATCCCAAATTCAAATGTTTCTATTTCTGAATTTTTAGGGATTTTAATTTTTTCGTTATTATTCAACTTTGCGATTTTTCATCTCTCAATTTTTAATGTTTTGACTTTCAATTTTTCGATTTTGCAATTTTTAGAATTTTCAGTTTTTCGATATTTCTATGTCAAAATTTTTAGGTTTTTCATTTTTAATTATTCAACTTCTCCGGGTTTCGAATTCCCAATTTTTCGATTATTTAAGTTTTTAGTTTTTTACTTCTTCAATTTTTTATAATTTTATTTTGTCGATTTAATATTTTTCGATTTTCCATTTCCCAATTTTAAGTTTTTGGATTTCTCGTTTTTTGCAATTTTCAATTTTTCAAATTTTTGAATTATTTTTCAATTACTACTTTCTCAAATTCAAATGTTTCTACTGTTCAAGTTTTAGAGATTTCAATTTTCCAATATTTTCAGTTTTGTGATTTTTCATCTCTCAAATTTAAATGTTTCGATTTTTCAATTTTTCATTGGTTCAATTTTACGATTTTGCAATTTTTATATTTTTCAAGAGTACTAGATTTATTAATTTTTTTGTTTTTAGATATTTCTGTGTTCAAATTTTCAATTTTTTAATTGAAGGAAAAAATTGTTATACCTTCTCTAGAGAGGCTCTTTAATGAATAAATTAGGTCACCAGTAGTACTTTCATGAAAGACGTGATTTATGCGAATATAAAACTGCAACGTCATCACTTTAAATTTTTTTTGAGAAAACAAATGCAAATGGTTCTAGAAAGTATATTTAAGGCCGTTTGAATAAAAGCGAATTAAGAAAAATCGCAAATTTTATATATTGTCTCATTAATTGGTAAGTTTTGACAAGGTGAAGGTGTGACATACTTACATTTCTTTTTCTCGTTGGCGCTTTTACACTTCCGACTGCCGTTATTCGCCCGCCAGTTATTCCTCTCTCTTGCTGATTCATCTCTCCCATTGGCACCATAATCGCCCCCATCATAATTCCTCCCATTATTCTTCCCATATTTCCCAAACCCTCGATTATCATATGAGTCGAAACGATTATCTCTACCTCTATAATTATTTTTCCTATCATCATAGTTGTTCCTATACCTATTATAATTATTGTAACTATTTTTCCCATCCCCTTGTCTCTGATTCACTCTATTGCTTCTACCCTTTCCAGATGGTTCTCCATCCTCTGCATTCCCGTCATCCACTTCAGGTCCAGCCCTTCTCTGTTCAGGACGATCTGGCTTGCTCCTCGTGAAGGTCCTCCCGCTCCCGTACCTCTCGTTCTTCCGCCCTCCATTCCAGTGCCTGCCCCTATCATTCGATTTCTTCTTCACACTTCCGCCGTTTCTATTGTAATCGTTATGATGACCTGCCCCGACTTCCTCATTAGCGGGATGCGGAGCGAAATTACTAGTCACCTGACTGGGTCCTGCTTGTTCCACATAGTTGTTCTGATAAGGCTGGTTGTCATAATAACTGTACCCCGAGTTTACACCACTCAAACTACCGCGGCCGGGATCATTGTAATAGGGCATATTGTTGTAATACTGTACATATTCTCCGTTACATATTGGAAAACCTCCATGCAACTGGTCCTCGTACGGGCCCCAATAAGACATGCTACACATGATGCAAGTTAAAACTAATCGGAAATTGAAAAATGCCGCTTATATTTACCGTTAAATTGGGGAGTTACGTTTTGTTGTGCAATTTCTTGTCAGTTACGTGTGTACTGATATTAGAAATAAATGCTTAAATTTGGCGAGGAATGACAGAAACTAAAATGAGAACTGACAGTTGACGGGAGAATCGGTTTTTGCCGTTACGTATTGCGGCTAAGGTTACGTGGACTCCAGACATGCAGTTTTAAAAGGACGTAATAAGAGGTTTCTGGATTTGATAAAAACAGCAATGACACGTGGACTAGTTATGTGCTTAATTGTTATTGTTTCGTCAAACGTTAATCTTATTTGTTGAGATTATTACATTTTATTTGTCTGACAGATGTCGCTAGCGAAGACGTGACTTTAAACACAACAATTTAGGTGTGAGGTACACAGTGGCGGAGATAATAGAAAATTATAAATATGGATTATGCAGTGGCGGCGGCAGCACAAAATTTTCACAAAAAATTACAACTTGTTGTAGTACTCTTCCGGTACTACCATTTCCTTGCTTATATCTTTTATCGTAGCACATCCAGTAATCGCCAAAGCGTAATCTAGTTCAGTTTTGAGTATAGTGAGTATTTTCTTGACCCCGTCTTCTCCACTGTGTGCTAACCCCCACAACACAGGCCGTCCAACGAACACCATTTTCGCCCCCAGTGCCAGAGCTTTGTAAACATCAGTACCATCCGTGACACCCCCGTCTAGATAAATTTCAACCCTGTCGCCTACTGCTTTCACAATTTCGGGTAGTGCTTCTATCTGAAAATAAATTTTAAGTAAAATACTTTCACTACATAGAAAGACTTATTACAGAAGCTGGAGTACCGTCTATTTGTCTACCGCCATGATTGGACACCAGAATGGCCGCTACACCTAAATCAGCCGCAATAACAGCATCTTCTGCTGTTAGTATACCTTTAAGAACAATGGGAAGCTTTGTGATACCCTGAAGCCACCTGATATCTTTCCATTCCAAGCTTTGATCATAAAAGCGATTGACGTAGCTGTTGAGACCTGAACCCGACTCGGTGGTGTTGATCCCTGTAGATTTGTCGCCGGAAAAATTTGCGAATTTTAGATGTGGAGGAAGAACGAATTTGTTTCTTATGTCAGCCAAGCGTAGACCGGAGATGGGGGCGTCCACTGTTAAGACTAGGGCTTTAAAACCGGCATTTTCTGCTCGAGCCACCAATTTTTTAGTCACTTCTCTGAACATAGAGACAAGTTTGAAGACGTACTTACTTAGTTTAGTGCTAAGTAAATCTACCTGTCTTTGAAGATATACAACTGAAACCAGTTAATACCACGTGGTGCTGTTTCTGCCACTTCTTCGATACTGGCGGTCGCCAAACTACTCAGCGTGTATATAGTGCCCATTTCTTGAGCAGCTGCAATGTTTTGGTTTTTGGTATTTTCTCAATTTGGATCATCGTTTTACCTCTAACACTGGCGCATTCTCCCTCTGGATGCGCCATCCTTTGCATAGACATTGGAGAAATCCCGACAGGAATTTCGACTTTTTGGCCCAAAACCGTCGTCGACAGATCTCTTCTGGACACGTTTCTTAGACATCGCGGTCGAATTTTAAACCTTGACAAGCGTGACTCGATTATGGAAATAAATATCATCGACTTACTTGGAGAATGCTCGTCGATTGTGGACCAAGGTGGTTTCAGCTCCAGCCCCACTTCTGTAAAAGTCCAGTGCGCTTCTGGGTAGTACCGAAAAAGCGTGTCTTTCGAAATCTTTGACGCATACAAGAGATTCACCCATTGTTTCGGAGAATGGGTTCGTATTAATTAGTTTCCAGACAGCAGTATCTTGTCTGTTTACTGATGACCAGTTGACCTTAGTGTGATTAGAATTTGGAGAAAAATTTGAATTATAGTTAAACGCGACTTTAAAATTTCAGTTGGCAACGCTCTGTCATGGTGTTCTTAGGTTAAGTTTTATTGCCATTTTGATAGAAAAAATCTTAAATTTACTCATGTTTGTGTAAAGTGTTTATTACTCTGTTTACGTACACATTATTGTGGTAAATCTAATCACAAATATTAGTCATAAATCTAGATAAGAGTCTCCACAAAAAAACTAAATGTAAGAATTGAGTATTTATTCAGAAAGTACTAAAGCTTTATCTACAAAGACTTCACACTACAATTTACTGTAGTACTCTTGCGGTACCACCATTTCTTTACTTATATCTTTTATCGTAGCACATCCAGTGATGGCCAAAGCGTAATCCAACTCAGTTTTAAGTATCGTCAGTATCTTCTTAACCCCTTCTTCTCCACTGTGCGCCAACCCCCACAACGCCGGTCGTCCAATAAACACCATTTTAGCCCCCAACGCCAAAGCTTTATACACGTCGGTACCATCGGTGATCCCTCCATCCAAGTAAATTTCAACCCTATCACCCACAGCTTTCACAATCTCCGGTAGCGCTTCAATCTAAAACAAACTTCATAATCTACACACAAAAACAAGTACCATTTAAACCCACAGAAGCTGGAGTACCATCCACTTGTCTAGCGCCATGATTCGACACCAAAATGGCCGCCACCCCTAAATCAGCAGCGATTAAAGCATCCTCTGCAGTAAGCACGCCTTTAACAACAATAGGGAGCTTGGTGAAGCTTTGGAGCCACTTCACGTCTTTCCACTCCAAGCTTTGGTCGAAAAGCCGGTTGACGTAGTTGTTGAGACCTGACCCTGTGTCCGTGGTGTTGATTCCCGTGGCTTTGTCTCCCATGAAGTTTGCGAATTTGAGGTGGGGTGGAAGCACGAATTTGTTGCGGATGTCGGCTAAGCGAAGGCCGAACATGGGGGTGTCCACTGTGAGGACTAGGGCTTTGAAGCCGGCTTTTTCTGCGCGTTCCACTAGTCTTTTAGTTACTTCTCTGGATGAAACAATTGGGTGTTAAGGGAGAAGTTTGACTTGGTTTCACGTGGGGTGAAAATATACAGTAAATACCTACTATACTATTATATCATTTTGGCACCAAAGTTAGAAAGATCAAACGAATCTTTACAATAACCTAAACACGTAGAAGAAACGAAAAGATAACAATGATAAAACAAAATACAAGGGAAAGACTACAAAGGAAGAGTAATAAATAGATATGTATTTTCGCAAAATAGCAAACTTTTTGTATTGATAGTACTTATTTAAAATTTATTTTCAAATATTGTATGTCTACCTGTCTTTGTAGATATACAGCTGGAACCACTTGATGCCATAGGGCGCAGCTTCAGCCACCTCCTCGATGCTGCTAGTCGCTATAGTACTGAGCGTGTATATAGTGCCCATTGCCTGAGCAGCTGCAACATCCCCAATATATCCCCCATCTCCTCCTCTCACATCCCTTACCTCGAGCATTGGCACATTCTCCCTCTGGATGAGCCATCCTTTGCATCGCCGTTGGCGAAATCCCAACTGGAATTTCGACTCTCTGGCCCAAAACCATAGTTGACAGATCTCTTCTGGACACGTTTCTTAGACATCGCGGTCGAATTTTGAATCTTGGCGAAAACGTACGCGGTTTTATAAATGAAAGATAAGATACTTATCTGTGGAATTTTTCGTCATGCATGCAACTTACTTGGAGAATGCTCGTCGGTTGTGGACCAGAGTTTCCTCCGCCCCGGCCCCGCTTCTGTAATAATCGAGCGCGTTTCTGGGTAGTACCGAAAACGCATGTTTTTCGAAATCTTTCACGCATACCAGAGAATCGCTCATGGTTGTTGGACGGATAGGCGCTTGCGAATAAGTGCTTTGTGAGAAAGGAGTATCATGTGTGTTATTGGTGGTCAATAATTGACCCCAACGTGATTAGGATATCGGTGTTTACAGAAATTATATCATAGTTAGAGGCACGCGAAGGCCAGGAGGGAACGCAGAATGTAAATGATAGCTGTTTTCGGAAAAATGATCCAAGATATGATGCAGAAAAATTTTCCTGACGCACGTTTTGGACTAAAGATAACTGCGTGAGTCAAAAGAGTTTGACGTATATTTGCAGAAGTACAATATGGTACCGGCTAGAATGATACATTTATTGTTTTATTATGTACAAGTTAGATAAATTACACAGAGTATGATTTTTTTTAGAATGTTTTAAACAACAGACGGTATTTATTAATCTGATGCATAATTTTGTATGATATAGATATTACAAATCTGACAATCCATCATAAGTGACTGATCAGTCTTTCAAAAATCTTCAGAAGTGATTCCTGTCATTGAAAGTTCAAATTATTGACTTATAACAACGAAACTAATTTGACGTTGTCAGATCTCATAACCTATCATAAAGATATCTTTAAAGATATAATTATTGTTTTATCTTGTTTACAATGTATGCATTTTTACTTGATTTAGATGTGATTCAAACAAAGTGCATACACATCCATAAAAAAATTCCAACGTTAATAATAACCTATGGATATTGACAACATATGATAAAGTCAGATTTTGGTAAAATTAAAATGATTATTATCTTATCACTCTTATTACAATACAATATAAGGCAAATAATATTATTTGTCGTATACAAAACTCTTGACTTTAGAATTATTACGAAATTTCTTACAGATTACAGCTTGGATAAAATAATTAAGAAAAGAAAGACACATTTTGTTGTTTAAAGCTTGTTTGTGGTGTCTCGACTTTGAAATTTAAATTTGGCGCCGGAAAAACAACGCCGCGAAAAAAATATTTCAATGTAGGCAAGCACCCATATTTTAGCTAGCTGAAACGTGTGTAAAAAATTGGTACGTAATTTTGTTTGTAATTTCACCAAAGGGCAATTGTTTAAACAAAAATGAATCTCGAAATAAGTCTACACATATTAAGAAAAAAGAAGACAAAATGTAGCCCCGCCCACCCACCCTGCCTCAATTGTGATGATTTTTTTTATTCGTCGTGAGCCAAGGGGACGGAGCTTAACAGCAAAGTCCATATTTGTCTACGAAAAATTAAAAACATGTTTTTGAATATCGTGTTGTTCAAAGAATACTATGTAGGTATATTACGAAAAAAATAAAGACAAAGATTAGGCCCCACCCATACCCGCCCCGATCTCAATTCTCAATTGTGATGAATTTTTCATTCGTTGTCAGATCGAGGGGCGGGGCTTAATTGCAAAATCCATATTTGTCTACCACAATTTACCATTTTAAACATGTTTGAAGCTTCTTGTTCTGACAACACGACTACGTATATTAAGAAAAAGATTCAAATAAAAGCCCCTCCCCCCGCCCGATCTCAATTGTGATATTTTTTTTTAATCGTCGAGAGCCAAACAGGAGCGGAATTTAAATGCAAAATCCTTATTAATTCTCTACAAGAAATTACCATCTTACATTTTTTTTAGTATCGTGATATTCAAAGAATACTATGTATATTAAGAGAAAATTAAACCCAAATGTTAAGCCGCACTCATACCTGCCCTGATCTAAATACAGTATAACCTCGATAATTAGAATTAATTGGGGAAAGATGTGTTCAGATTAACGATTTGTTCGGATCAGCGAAATTCCCAAAAAGCTGGACGGGAATTGAATAACAACTTCGTACATTTATTTTCTTAGAGGATATGTCATTTGCCAAAATCAGTCTCATGTTGACAAGTACTAGCCCCGCCCACCCACCCTTTATTTTCTTAGAAGAGTAGGTCATCTGCCAAAATCAGTCTTATCTTGACAAATACTAGCTCCGCCCACCCACCCTTATTTTCTTCTTCGAAATCTACATGCCATAATTTTGAGATAATTTTTTTGAAAACCAAAATTTTTCAATATGAAAATTTTGGAATTTTTCGACCACATTCGAAGCTTAACCAAAGACATTTTTTTGTACATTTTAATCTCCAAAAATTAATTTAAGACTCAAGAAGTTACTTTTGGTCTCATTTTTTCTAGAACTCCATCATTGCTCCAGAATCGCCGATTGAAATAAAAAAAAATAAAATAAAAAAAATTGCGTCTCAAACCGAATATTTCTAAAATCTTGTCTCGGGACCATAAAACACCATACTTTTGGAATCAGTACGTCGAAATCTATATCCCAGAATTTTTGAGGATTTTTGGACAACTTTTTCAAAATCAAAATTTTTCAGAATGAAAATTTTGAAATTTTTCAACCACCTTTGAAACTCAACCAAAGACATTTTACATTTCGCTCTCCAGAAGGTCCTTTCGGCCTCACTTTTTCGACAATTCCGAGCATTTTTCCAAAATTGCCCATTTAAAAAAAAAGTACATACAGTGGACGCCGCTTAATGTGATCACTTTGGGACTCAGACAAATTGATCACACTAACCGACTGATAATAATAAGCGAAAACCACCGGCAGAGACAGTAAAACTCGAAACAAAACAAAATCATGAACAAGACAGTGTTTATTATGCTGTAGATGAAGGTACCTACATAAACAGAATTTATTTTAAATTTTGGTTACCATTATGAAAAAGGAACACTCGATTTCCTTTGGTTGTTATAGAAGTTTGTTAAGTAAGGGCTGAGAAATTTTTAAAGTAACCGCGACCTTACGCTGGCTCACCCATCATGGGAGTGATCATACTGTCTTAAGATCTCCAACTTCTTTGATAAGCTGAGATCTCGTCATTTGAACTTGCTCATTTTTACTTAAGTACTCAAATTTAAAACAGAAAAAATTCATTCGTTCGAAAGACGAAAACGCACTGATTGCGTAAAACTATGACTGATTGTGGTTGTACATAGTGAGTAGTATAAGCAAATGTACTTTTTGAAAGCAATGAATATTCATTAAAACAGAATACCAGTTTCAGTCGTCTCAGTTCTCCAAAAAAGCAATTCTCGCTTGTAGAAGGATTGCGAGATTGATCACAATAAGCGAAATATTGATCACAATAAACGGAAAAACTGTAATGCATTGGTATTGCGTGGGCCCGTTCCAAGCCATTTTGATCACATTAAGCGGTTGATAACATTAACCGTGATCATATTAAGCGGCGTCTACTGTATTTCGAACTTAATATTTCTAAAATCTTGCCACGGAATCATAAAAACACTAGATTTTTGGAATAAGCACGTCGAAATCTAATTCCCAGAATTTTTTAAACATTTTAGAGAACGTTTTCAAAACCAAAATTTTTCAGTGTAGAAATTTTAGGGTTTTTCGGCCACCCTTGAAATTGATGAAAGAGATTTTTTTGTACATTTCGCCCTCCAGAAGTTTCTTTCAGCCTCACTTTTTCGATAACTCGATTTTATCAAAATCGCCCAGTGAAACAATTTTTTGAATTAAAGAAAAAAAATGTATTTCAAACCTAGTATTCCTAAAATCTTGCCCCGGAACCATAAAAATGCAATATTTTTGCAATCAGCACGTCGAAATGTACATCTTCGAATTTTTTGAAGATTTTTGGGATAATTTTTCAAAACCAAAATTTTACCCTTACGAAAGTTTCTGAATTTTCCGACCACTTTCGAAACTTAACCAAACACATTTGTACATTTTGACCCCCAGAAGTTACTTTCGGTCTCATTTTTTCTATAACTCATAACAGTTTTCCAAAATCGCCAATTGAACCATCAGTTTTTTGATTAAAAAAAAATGTATTTCAAGCCGAATATTTGTAAAATCTTGCCTCAGGATTATTAAAACGCTATATTTTTGGAATCACCACGTTGAAATGTGCATCCCAGAATTTTTTTTTAATTTTTAGACAACTCTTTGAACATGTTTAGACTACTTTTTGAAAACCAAGCTTTTACCCTTATGAAAATTTCTTAATTTTCCGACTACCTTCGACCAAAGATATTTTCTGGCACATTTCGACCTCTAAAAGTTACTTTCGGTCTCACTTAGGGAGGTTATTTGGCAAGCATTAGCAAATTTCGACCCATTTTCGATAATTTTCTAAATTTGACTTAAATAGTTTTTCTTCTAGATTTCGGGCCGCAGAAGTCACTTCTGGCCTCATTTCTTCGATAACTTCAACCTTTTTTCCAGAATTGTTATGAAAAGATGGCTATGTATATTAAGAAAGAAAAAAGGTTCAAATATAAGCCCCGCCCACCCGCCCGACCTCAATTGTGATAATTTTTTTTAATCGTCGAGAGCCAAACAGGAGCGGAATTTAAATGCAAAATCCTTATTAATTCTCTACAAGAAATTACCATCAAACATTTTTTTTAGTATCGTGATATTCAAAGAATACTATGTATATTAAGAGAAAATTAAACCCAAATGTTAAGCCGCACTCATACCTGCCGTGATCTAAATACAGTATAACCTCGATAATTCGAATTAATTGGGGAAAGGTGTGTTCAGATTAACGATTTGTTCGGATCAGCGAATTTCCCAAAAAGCTGGAAGGGAATTGAATAACAATTTCGTACACTTATTTTCTTAGAGGATATGTCATTTGACAAAATCAGTCTCATGTTGACAAGTACTAGCCCCGCCCACCCACCCTTTATTTTCTTAGAAGAGTAGGTCATCTGCCAAAATCAGTCTTATCTTGACAAATACTAGCCCTGCCCACCCACCCTTATTTTCTTAGAGGATATGTCATTTGCAAAAATCAGTCTCATACTTACCAAGATAAGATTGATTCTGGCTAATGACCTACTCTTCTAAGAAAATAAAAAATAGGTCATCTGCCAAAATCAGTGTTATGTTGGCAAGTATGAGACTGATTTTTGCAAATGACATGTCCTCTAACCTTTAAGAAAACAAGGGTGGGTGGGCGGGGTTAGTACTTGTCAAGATAAGACTGATTTTGGCAGATGACCCACTCTTCTAGGAAAATAAAGGGTGGGTGGGCGGGGCTAGTACCTTTTCTAAGA